ATACCTGAGCCTGATTGAGTGCAAATTAGATCTTGTTTCATCATTTGAATGGTAGGCAAAGAATGAGCAGAAATGGCCGACAATCTATTTGGAGGCAATATCTGCAAAGAAAATCATATCAGGAGAGTATTCAGGCACCATGTCCCCTCTGAGATGAGAGCATTTGGTGTGTTACATCTAATATTTTATCCCAATGACAAAAAAGTAGCATCTTATTGTTTTGGCTGTCATTGTTCCACTTTGTCTCCAAAATATAAGGTTGATAAAAGCAGATCTGGAAGTTTCGCTTACGATTGATGGTAGATGTTTGTGTGAGCAGATGCCCGTAAAAGTGGTGTTTGGAGAGAAGTGTTCGGTGAAGTGTGTTTGTCTAACCTGGTGAAGGAGTGATGCAAGTGAAAGACACTGAGGTGATGGTGGTCAGGGCATGGAGGATGGTTCTGCATCAATTTCCCAACTAACTTTTATTGGTCAGTTTTCCAGATACAAAGGATTCAATGTCTTTCCCAAACTGTGAATATGTTAACGCTTATTCCTTTTCTTGTCAAGAGTTAAATGAGAAGATCGATACCACTCGTGGACTGTATGTGTTTGTTTGACTTCTTGAAGTCTTGTCGTCAATGTGAAGTTGCCAGACAAACAGTGGAGGGTTCAGGAATTGCTCCTAGCCAACAGCCACTGGCACATAATCCCTGAGCAAAAGACCTGTAACACCACAACATGTCATTTTTACACTTTGGTTTTTGTACAGACTGAACAAATGAGATGAAATGTGTTAATTAGTGAGCTTTAGAGTTGGCACAAAGGCTTACCTTTTTGAAAAAATATAGCTGAATCTGACTAAACCAATAATTGTCAAGTGCACATCAGGGTTGAGAGGTAGACTCACTGCAGAAAGATTTTTACCACAGACAATAATTCATCCACCTGGTTGAAACATTAACGCATATAATCCATTAAAAGTCAATTTTTGCATCAAGGATATTAGTGTCCAGCTGTTTTCTCCACTGTTGCTCATCATGAACACCAAAGCTTTTGGTTCTGGCAGTTTGACTCCCAGGTACAGCTACCAATTTCATTTCTGCTCTCCTGTGTACAGATCAAAACTATTAATTGAAATAGTTGTCATTCAGGCGAAGAGATAGTAGTTTGTGGTGTGGTTGGTGATGTGTTTGGTGGTGTAGTTTATGGTGTGGTTGGAGATGTAGTTTGTAGTGTGGTTGGTGGTGTGTTTGGTGGTGTGGTTTGTGGTGTGGTTGATGGGGTAGTTTGTGGTGTGATTGGTGGGGTAGTTTGTGGTGTGGTTGGAGGTGTAGTTTGTGGTGTGATTGGTGGGGTAGTTTGTGGTGCGGTTGGTGGTGTGTTTGGTGGGGTAGTTTGTGGTGCGGTTGGTGGTGTGTTTGGTGGGGTAGTTTGTGGTGCGGTTGGTGGTGTGTTTGGTGGGGTAGTTTGTGGTGCGGTTGGTGGTGTGTTTGGTGGGGTAGTTTGTGGTGTGATTGGGGGTGTAGTTTGTGGTGCGGTTGGTGGTGTGTTTGGTGGGGTAGTTTGTGGTGCGGTTGGTGCTGTGTGTGGATACTGTTTAGATAGCCTGTGGATGGAGTCTGGTTGCTGGTGTCAGCGCGGCTCTGATCAGCTGTTGGCAGGCGGATGAGCGGGCGGTCTCTCCCCGCGGCGGCACCCCGGGTCGAAAGCCGGTTTGAAGTTTAATGATGCCAGCTGCCAGCTCCACCAGGCTGTGAGCGCTAACGAGCTGGCACTGGTGGCGGACTGAGCCACGGCGGCAGCACCTGGAAATGTAGCACACGTTGCAGAGGGGCGGGGCTCCGCCGGGGCTGTTGAGGGGCCTGCTGGAGACCCAGGACGGCACCGAGAGGCCCGCATCTCTTTGAAGAGCGCCCCAATTTCCATATTTCATTACACACTGCTGACTGACAAGGCCCAGCCAGATGTTCTATTTTCAGCTATTTAAATTTTGACCTGCTTTCCTACCATGGATGCAAAAAGAAAAAAAATGTAATCAAAACACAGATGCCAAGGATGATGGGAACTTGGATCGGGTGTGTCTGCTAGTTTTTGTTCACATTCTTCATGTCTTTATATCCTCATACAGTGTTGACAGTAATCACACATTAAATGTTGCTCTTTAACTTCCATAGCCAATCCTTTTTCATTACAGACCGTTGGTTGACAGTCTATCCTGCGGGGTTCACTGTCTTACTCAAGGACACTTTAACAAGTCACACTGGTTGTTTCAGGGATCAAACCTGAGACCTTGTATTTATGAGACAGTCTCTAAGCATCCAGCCAGCCCAGCGCTGAATCGGCTCCCAAAGTGAGTGATGCATGCTCTGAAACACCTAAAGCATGCTCGCACAGCGCCTCTGTCCCTGAGATATCGGCTATGATTAATTCCTGTGGTATTCCTGTTGAAATGGCTGTTAAATTGCAGCGTCCTTACTCAATCCCTCATGCAAAAATACATCGACAACCCTGACCTTTTTGTGCATCTGCTGCAAATGGCACTTTGTCATCCTGAGTGAGCAAGCTCAAGGATCAATGTGGTTTTGTTGGAATAAAACTTCCTCGACAAACCCCCCTGTCTGCTGGCTGTGTGTGTGTGTATGTGTGTGTGTGCGTGTGCGTGTGTGTGTGTGAGAGTGTGTGTTTGTCCATGTCTGCACTTCATGAAAGTAAAACTCTTGAATGAGGAGGAAGGAGGAAAAACAAAGGATGAATCTGGGGTGAAACACAGCAAGAACGAGTGGAGAGCAGCTCTGAGTTGAACACCGAATGGCAAGAAATGAGAGGTGCTCTCTCTGTGAGAATCAGAGGGAGAAGGGCTTTCACTCATTACTCAACACAGCTCACAGCAGGGGAGAGAAAGCAGTTTATTCCTTCAGTAATCGGTCTGTGAATCTGAGTGTCTGTGTATGTGTTTGACTGAGTGAAAATACAGAGGTAATTGAGAGTTAACTAAGGCATTACAGGGGCAATACTGACACAGAGATACAAATTGATAAAAGATATCACTGTGTTTTTTCTGTGTGTTTTTCTGCCCAACATGATGGTGTTTAAATTATCTGTATAATAGAAATCTAAAGAGGGAATATTTATGTGTAGTAAACATATAGAACTTTTCTATTCCGTGTGTTTAATCGACAGAGAACATGTGAAAGGGTTTTTATCATCTGCAATAACAACAGGAGTGAGAAAGATAAGGTGATACAGTGTTTTAGTGTTCAGTGATAAAAGGAGTTGTATTTAAGTGTAGGAGATAACACTAACTAACAACCCGGGGTATATAATAACAGGATAAGCTTATTTGCTGTTTTGTAGTGTGTTGTGAGGTGAAAAGAGTTCTGGTAAGACTATCTATTTTAGTGTGTTTGTTTAAAATTTTAAAGGACCTATATTGTATAAAGGTAGATTTCCATGTCTATTTTGATTATAATGCAGGTCTAGGTTATTAACACTGTGAAAATATCAAAGCACTCACTCCGAAGAGAAATGCACACAGCCTGTATTTAGAAACTGAGCCTTAAAACAAGCCGTCAGGATTTCTGTAACTTTGTCATGTCACACAAAAGCAGTCACCACTCTCAGTCATGCCCCAAGCCCCCCATGAGTGGCTCAGAGCCTCCTCTCTTCTGATTGGTTCACCAACCTGTTGTTACCAGAGCGCCAGAGAGAAGCCTGAGAGAGGAAATGTAAAACTACACTGAGATGTTTTTTGGTGCTTAAAACTACAACTATATCTTCTCATGGATCAACACTTCAAATAAAACATGTAAAGTGTAAAATATGGGACCTTTAGAATGAATCTCCTAAAACTCTGAACATCTAAAAAACATTAAAAATAAGATTTAAATAAATTCATTATAAAGATTTAAAATATACGGAACTATAGATTGAAACAATTTGTAATTAGTCTTCGAAAGAGCTAATTTGACCACCGTTAAAACTGCACTAGTCAACATTTTCAAATTTGTTTCATTTGCTATTTCTGCATAATCTTCATGAATGATAGTTAAGATAGTCTAAGTAAAAATACTTGAAAAGTCAAGGTGCTGATGGAGTTGCAGAAACTTTATGTACATTTCATGTTCGTTACATGTGAATATGAAATCACTACGGCCTTGTGCCATATAATGCATGACAATAATATGTTGTTTTTTTCACATCAATACAACTTAGAAATCAAGACATCTGTGTGTGTATGTGGACGTAAGATGAAGCAGGTGCATCAGGTTTATTCATCATTCCTTCTCACACAGATACTATGAAGATGCTTTGTTAGTCTGAATGGTGCAGGAGTCTCTGCACTCCCCCTGCCTCTGGACTACCTGACCTTTGGCATGACCTTTAGAAGACAATTTGAAGCCCCAGCAATCGCCACGCGCCTTGGCCCACAATATTTTCCCTCATTATTTTTTCAATGTTACCTTTGCAGCGTGGCAGAAAAGAGCTGGTTTCAACAGAGGGGTCAAGGGTCAAGAGAAGGAGGGTAAAAATGCAGGTCAGCTTGGCTCTACAGTTGTGTTTTGCCGCCTTCCTCAGAGAATTCACTGCTACAAAGCCATTTGAACTCTGAACCCTCCAGCTGTCTGTCAAACGCTGACCCTCAGTGTTGACTGTTATCTGTTTTGACAATTAGGAAAGCGCCACAGCCATCAATAATGGACTGGACAGTGGCTACAGAGCTTTAATGTCAGGCAACAAAACATCAAACATGTATACTGAATATCAATTTTCCCTGTATTTTGATATAACAATTATCCCGAGTCAACTTTCTAATTGTAAAACCAAATAAAGGTGCTCTTTAACGTGAGATGACTCTTCAATCTAAAATGCCTCATCTTGATATCTGGCTCTAATAGTCTGTCCACCCCATTGATCCAGACTTCTATATTTAAAATATTGATTGCCTGCTGGGAAATATTATAAAGACAATCATGATTCCCAGAGGATGGATGCAAGGATGATTGTAAAGTCAGGACAAGAAAAATGTAAAGGCATTTATTTTTCAGATGTAGCAATATTGACTTACAAAATCATTGATGCAAAAACTGTAAACATTTTTAAGTGTTAGAAAGTATATAAAATCCCTATTTCACAAAAGTATTCTCATAGTCTTGACCTTCTGTACTGTAGACCCTGAATGGCAAACTCAGGACTGCATGTAACTTCCAAAGCAGATGTTTGTTTTTGCAGTTAAACTGGTCATTTAGGAAGTACACCAGCTGTTACTGGTTTAATACACTAAATTCAGCTGAATTTTAACTGATCACTTTCTGCATTCCCAGATTATTTTTGCTTGATTGAAGTAATTCATTCTGCACAGACAGAAGGTTTATAACACCTGACTCTACAGTGGCCGTGTCAAATAAGGCGGAAAGAGTTTTTAGATCTGAGGCTGATTCATTTTCTTTTTTTTTTCTCCCTCTATCATTCAGCCACCAGTGATTGCTCTCCAGCCACACAGCACGCCGCTCGCTTTCATTTTGCTCCCATTAAGCTGAAATTCACAGGTTACATCAACAAATAAATGAGCTCAGGAAAATAAAGGCATTTTGTGTTATTTCCATTATAACTTATTTGAAGTGATAGTAATTACTCTGGGGGTAGGGTGGGGATCCTGAGTGCTCAGAGTCAACAAGGTGAACATGCTGAAACAATTGAAATGTTCCAAAATTAAGCGCCGTTACATGCTGTGCCAGAAGTTAATTTTCATTTCCTCAGGTGAAAAGAAAAAAAGAGATACACATGCGAAGCATTCGAGCCATGGAGAGGCTGGGTGAAGATTTAGACGTGGGCTTCTATTCAAATATGAAGGTCTCCTTGACATTTTCTGCTCTGCGTTGGCTGCTCATCCTTGTCGCATTTCTCCAAGCTGCAGACGGAAAAGCGCGACCTGTTGACATTTACAAACTCATCTGGCTGAGAGCGATGGCATTCTATAAGGAGAAACACCTCCGAATGTCCCACCACAGAGTCCTGGTTCCTCTGCTCCGTGTTGCGCATGAACATGTTATTGCTTAAAACAAACATCAGTCCCCTTTGCAGAGGGAGAGCGAGAGAGAGAGAGAGAGACATGTTTTATCTCACTCTTCCCTTTAACTTCTATGGCTAGAGCATTTCCTTTAAGCTTGGAAAACTATGCAGAAGTGGCACTGGGCAACCCGTAGACCTCATCAACTTCACCAAATACTGGTCGGGTTTGATCACTGCAACTTCTGGACTGCCACAGCTGCCACCAGAGGGAGCTCACTGTTCAATTGTGACCAGGTTAAAGTCTGCCCCCTCCATGCCGATAAGGTTCTGGATCGCAGCCAAGAATAGTGTGCCACATGATTCACCAGCAGCTGGGTTAAGGCAGGACAAAGGTGAAATGAGGTGAAAGCAAAGCCCAAATAGTGACAGCCGAGCAGGACACAACTGTAAATGGAGTGTGGAAGGTGTTCTGAGTCGTAATGCAAATAAGTATGCGTGATATGCTTTTGAAAAGTGACAATAACGACTCAAGATCGAGGACAGGGAAAACAAAGTGCTCACACAAACCTCAATGAATGAAACTGTTTTTTTTCTCTGTATGGAGGAGAAAAGACTCCTTCACTTTATTGAGAGCCACTGCAAATGAGAATTAAGAAACAAGATTTCAAAAGCCAATGGGATGCAATGAGAAACTTAAATATGACTCATTGTGCGGGTTTAGCTTCTGCATCACTCAGGTTTCTGGAGAAAAGTTCAAAACGGTGCTGTGCGGATCAGCTCATCTTTGTGCTTTTGGTGCAGCAGATTTGATCTTTAGAAGTCAGGACGATCCTTCTTCAGTTTGCTGTAGTCCATGTTGACTGTGAAAAACTGAGAATACATACACATTTTAGCTCCTGTGCAAACAGTTACTTTACAGAAGAATGCCTTGGTAGCAAAGAGTAAGTTCAGGTCACTTGGCAAAGCATAATGCCGCAGCTTCCCTCCATGTTACAGCATCCTTCAGTTTCATAAAATATTATATAAAATTCTTGTAAAAAAGTAAGTACTTGTCTCTGAACACTTCAATTCATTTGCCTTGATGTTGTCTTCTGGAAACTCCTTCTGTTGTTACTTTTGATCAAGCGTGACCAGTTAATGACTTCATCAGATTTGTTACTACAAGGCAGCGTTAACCAGATTATGTAATTTGATTAATCCAACTAAAGGAATAATCCATGGCTCAGCGACAAGTCTGGCAAAGATCCATACTATAATCCCTGAATATAACCACCTACACTCTTTCAGTAACAACTTCAGCTCAGAGATGAGTGCAATCAATGCTGTGTGGCGACATGATTTGCTGAGAAAGAGAGAGAGACACACACACACACCTTGTACTGATCATTTGGGCCCAGTTTGTTCCAGGGCTCTGGGTTGTTCTTGCGGTCCCAGCTGCAGAGGAGAAAATAGTTACACATTATAAGAGATTCAGAAGAACAGAGGCATTCATGGCCATTATTAACAAATATATATATATATATATATATATCACAATAACTGAACTGCAACATTGTCAGTGTCTCTACACATCATCTTCAGATCTCATTACTCAAAAAGAAAAAGAAAGAAAATACAAGATAGTCATAACTGGAGTCATTACCAAACGTCTGGGTTTCTCAAGGCCAGACGAGCGAGGTATGTCATGGACATGGTTACTCCTCCACCGATGAAGATGAAGAGAGGGATGAGCTGAGAGTGACAGACAGGAATTCAAGAAGTCTTCATCAACATGAGGGCAAACTACCACAGCTCAAGGTAGGACTATATCAGTAAACACACTGAGACTGCTGACAAACATAAACACTCATCATTTTCCGGCGCGACCTTCAACTGATGCTATATTTACAATTTTCTTTCGCAGCCTCTTGACTTGTTTCGCGTATCCAAGTCAAATGACAAGAGTGTGTGGCTTAGAAAATATGAAGCTCTAGTACGAGTTAACATAGACATACAGCTTGCTAACGCTAACCAGACAGCTAGTAGCTGCTATTTCCAGCACAGCATACCCTCTCCTTGACAATATCATCAGCTGTTATAGTATGTGAATGAAGCCGTGACCTGATCTGACTCCTAAGCACCAACAGTCAAAAGTATTGCCACATATGTCTTTGGGTTGTGTACATTACTCAACACTTGTTAGAGATTAAAGTAAACAGTGAAGCATATCCGTATATTTGACAGAGTTTCTCAAAGTCAGCGCGGTCAAAGTCAGAGCACTAGCTAGCTGAAGCTAGCAACGCTAACTAGTTTAGCTAAGCTAAGTTAGCTACAAAAAATCTCATATGGTCCGAGTTCAGAACAAGCTCTCTAAATGAATCTTTATTGAATATAACTAGATTATACTTACTGCTGGGTGGCTTCTAAGCTGTTTGCGGACTGTGGCGAGCATTTTGACGTGTGTGAGAGCTGATTTAACGCAGTTTGTACAGAAATAAATGGATTACCAACAGTCTTGCCAAAACGGTGCGGAATTTAATCTGCGAGATTGGGCGGAAGAAAGGCCGAGGAACCAAATATAGGAAGCTACGCATACTGCCTGACCAACAGCGGCAGAAACACATCATTATTAATTATTATGTTTAGTATGTAAGACATTTATGTCACACTACATGTAAAAAAAACTAAATCATTTTGTATGGTTTCATTAATATGCGGCTGTGTGGCTTCAGCCTTTATTTCCACACAGTATTTTATTCTGGCAAAGCAAAAGTCTGTCACAACCAAAAACAAAATCAATCCTTACACCATTATTAATTGTTTTATTGTTTTCATTAACGAATGTATATATATGGTGTAATATGTGTATTCAATCCTGTTTCACATACTGTAGCAATCATGGATTATACAAGTTGTTCGAGTTGTAGTATTTTATTTAATAAATAAAATGTCTAAAAGTCTTTAAGGATATATATTACCGATCGATATTAATGTGAGTGACCTGATGGAGATAACAGAAACAGTTTACAGCTCCAGTCTCTGTCAGTGTGAAAAGCTGAACGGTCTGAACCTTAATGTGGCAGCAGGTGGTGCTGTTTTCCTTAATCAGACAAACCACATTAATTTACAAGAAATTCAACCAGTTCCTCAAGTACTGGATGAAGTAGAGGATGTCCTTCTACTTTATCTGTTTTAGAGATGTTTTTTTTCTTTTTCTCTCTGAAAAATCAGATTTTTAGGCACCTCATATCTAAGAGTCTTTCATTTTGTTGGTCATGGAGGTGCTGATTCCTTGCAGTTGGGCTACTTGGGAAATTATCTTTAAAATCCATTGTGCTTAGGCACAGTTAAACACTATGAAAATGTGTTTAAATACTCTTATTTTAAGCAGCCAAGACCAGTGGTGGAAGTACTCAGTGCTTTACTTCCACTTAAGTAAATGTATCATTACCACAGTAATACTCTGAAATACCCTCCATTTAAAAAGTAAAAGTACAAAAGTATTTGCATCAAATTATACTTAAAGTGCAGTTTGTACTTATTATGCATAATGGCCCAATTCAGAATAATATATATTGTATTATTTGATTCAAATTATTGATGCATTAATGGGGCTAATTTTAACTACTTTATGTGCTACCAGGTGCTAAATCCATAATGATGTGTGATCATTTATTAGAGGATTATATTCTGTATTTAGAATCTGCAGGTGCAAATTAAAAATGAACTAACACTGTCAAATAAATGTAGTGGAGTGAAAAGTACAATATTTCCCTCTGAATTTTTAGTGGAGTAGAAGTATAAAGTAACATAAAATGGAAATACTTAAGTACAAGTACCTCAAACTTGTACTTAAGTACAGTACTAGAATAAATGTACATGGTTACTTTCCATCACTGGCCAACACAGACAAGACTTTTAAAAACGAGATATTATACATGTTAGTTGTTATTTTTTCTGCTCAAAAATGCAAAACTTACTGATGTGAACCAATCAAGTGAAGTCTGTGAAATGAAATGAAAATCACCATGAAATATCACAATTTCCCTTTTATGGCAAGTTATTTTCAAACTTGTAGAAAATAAAAGTAAAAACAATTCAATTGTAAGATTGGACATAACACAACAGGCTACATACAATCGTTTATATTTTATAAATGGCATGATACTTGGCCAAATGTTTGCCAAAAAATAAACTACATATGTGATAATAACACATATTCAAGCAATAGTTTGTAAACCAAGCCTTGTTTGTTGGTAAGTTCATGAGTTAAATGTTGAAATGCGTTTCTTAGGCTCGGCTTGGTTTATCTTCCATCTGAGGGAGGTGAACTGGTTTCAGAAACAATAAGGACTTGTCTAAATACAGTATTCATTCATTCATAATTTGATCCCTAGTAAAACATTCTCTTCATTATATCGACAGTACACAACAGAAAACTACGATGACTCTCTTTTAAATACAGTTAAGTTAAAAATCTGACTGTACTTGAACAAATCATAGGCACATACAGTATGCCTGCACAAGATGTCTTATGAAAATAAGATACTGGCTATAGAGTGTTTGCATTTATTTTGCAATGTATCCGTCTCTCTCTCTGTGCACCAGATGTTTTAGTGCGTCGTCTTCTTGGGGGTCTTGCCAAATTTAGCATCCAATCCGAGACCTAAAGAGAGAAAACCACAGATGTGATTAAGGAGCAAAGGAAAACCTCAGCATCTTAACAGACACTATTGTACACTCTGGAGATCACCAACAGAATCACCAGCATTACCAATAAAAACATAAAAAATATGAACGCTCTGGCATCTTCTCCAACTATGTCAGCGTTAATTTACTGTCTCCCCTGCGGCTATACTCCCACTGCATAATTTACCAGTCAACCAAATGGTTTGCGTGGGAAGCCTAAGTATTCCCCAGTTGGACCTAATTGTTTGTTATAACAAACACATACAGTAACTGTCTCTGGCTACAGCTGTTGATGGTTTCAGTCATGTTCTGGCAAGCGCTTGATAGTGTTATAATCTGTCACCAATTTTACAGTGATGCAGTGCATTCATGAGAAAAATGTGACACATTTGAGTAAAGGCAGGAGGAAAGAGAGCGTTAATTCTCACCAAGGAAAACTAGGATGGTGCCAACCCACTGCATTGTACTCATGACGTTGCCAAACAGAATTACAGAGCCAAGGATTGTGAAGAACTTCCTCGTGGTGGTGACGATGGAGCAGGTCAGAGGCCCAAAGTATACCACCGTCATAAAGATGAAGGTCTGGTGAAGGATTAGAAAAAATACTCAAAGGTTGTAATATGAATACCCACTGTTAAGATGCTTGTCTTCTCTAAGCATTCGTTCCAAAGCTTTTCTTTTATTTCCTCTCACAATGCAACACAACATTACACTTCCCATTACTTCACCGACCACATCAGTCCTTTCATCATACACCCACCTGGCCTAAGGCACTGGTCAGTCCAAAGAGAAGAATATTATAGAGGATGCTGGGGTGGCGTTCAGTAAAACTCAGGAACTCCCACACCTCCCCTGTCCACAACACAGCTGAGAGCAGAGAGGAAGAAAGCAGCAACAGAAAAAGAAAATAACAATGTCATCTCAAAAACAGAACTCGGTAATTGATATTAATGTCACATGTACTGCCTTAGTTGCCTTGTCCTTGACACTCGTGCTGAGAAAATCAGATCACAGCATTTACAGTGTGAGCACATGGCACCACCAAGTGGTTTAATACAGTCATAACAACCAGATGAAGCCTTGGTGTGGGGGTGTCATGGATCCGTAGGAGTGGAGGAATAAGAATACTTTTGTATCTTGGGAAACAGCCGCACTTCAAAAGATAGTGAAGGCAGATTTCTAATAAAGGTAGCAGCGGCGTACCACAGACTAAATTTTCCACAGACAGCTGAAAGCATTTTAATACAGTCGAGAACTGAATCTGACACTTATGAAAAACAAATATTGCATTTTGTAATGTAATATGACCTATGAAAGTGGGAAGCAGATGTTGAGGAGAGATGGAAACAAACTCAGAGATAGCAGGCAATACCAATTAATTTGTTTAAGGAATGATAAAAGTCCCTTAGTTCTCATACTGGCTTTGACCTTTTGATCTTTATCATACAACCCATTAGTGCCTAACCTTAGTAAGCCCCTCATTATATTGCATTTGTTTTATGTGGCTTACTCTCCTGCATATTATACCAACCTCCTCACAGAGCCGAGGGCTTTGAGGTGCAGGATTCCTTATCTAGAAAGATAACGCTGAAAACTTTGCCTTGACTGAATTAATGAGTTTTTTCCTCCTGAGAGAACAGGGTTCATCTTTTCTTTAACATATTGGTTTCTGTTTGGGTTCTTTACTTATTAGGTTTGCCATTAGCCACTGCATAACAGCCGTTATTTGTCCTGGGGTCTTTTTTTAAGAATTTATTGTGACATTACAAAATCAACGCAACTAATAACATAACCTTTTAAGAATGCATTTTAACCACCATGTTATAATTCAGTTGTTCATACTAAAACACCTTAAGGTGAAATCAGATATTGCTGCAGTTTGATAAACTGTTGAGTGGAAAAGCATCTCAAAGAAACCAGAACGATAACAAAATAAGACCTCTAACTGTGTTAAAGACTGGATGACTTCTTTTGGATCCTCATTATAGGTGTTTTAAAGACCCTCTCCAATGAAAATCAAGTTTTTAACCTTGTTAACATGTCCATATGATGTTTTTATATAATACATGACATATCATGAGTGAAATAAGCAGTCAACGCCATGACTGCGTATCTCCACCTTGGAAATGCAGTGAACCAATGACAGTCTCATAAAAACAGATTCAGACAGCCAGGGATTCACACGTCATATAATCTAAGGAACTAATCTTGTCAACTTGTGGGGATGAGGGACGGAGCAAAAATAAACCTGAAAGCAGTACAGAGAGCGAGAGTTTACTTTAGCACAACCACTAACACTGGGTCAGCCACTGCCAGTTGTGAGCTAACAAACAAATCAAAGATGGTAAGTACACTAACCGTCCTGATAAGTCTGCTAATCACCTATGTTTGGTCACAACAGACTCCTCATCAGAGTCTGACTGAAGCTCAAACATGTGGCCGAGTCTCTCTGATGTTTCCTCCAACACTAACCATCATTATACGCTCTGCTCTTCCACCGGTCACTGAAACAGTACACAAAGCGAGAGTTTGCATTAGCACAACCACTAACACTGTGTCAGCCACTGCCAGTTACAAGCTTACAAACAACATAAACAATTAATTACGCTAACCACTCTGATAGGTCTTCTAGCAGGGTTTTTCCTGCATAGAGAATTGCGAGGCGGCAGCCTCCATTAAATTTCGTGCCGCCTCCGCTTCCTGACAAAATTCTAGTACTTGTTTTCTCTGTGGATTTGAATAAGTACAGGATACAATTTGTCCCGTATTTTCGTTCATGTTATGTCCTCAAAGTGCTGTGAATAATGTAATGTCAAGTAAAACCAAACCAGTTGCCACCTTTTTTCACATAAAAGGTGGCCACCCTACAGATGAATATCAAGCACACCCAGCTTCTTGAAAAGTTTCCCTAAAGTAACATTACATCCCTTCATATGTTTATTTTTTTGCAGAAATGTCTCAAATCACAGATTATTTTAAAAAAAAAACAGAATTAGCGAGGAGGAGAACCGCGAGGACAGGTGAAACAGTGCAGAGTGCAGACATCATTAGTTCTTCTAATATGGGAAATAAAGTTAATTCATGTTACTGACAAGATACGGTTAATGTGTCAGGACTGAAAGTAGGCCTAGTTCTCGCCACAAGTGGAAGATGAGAGGATCAGAGCGCGAGAGAGGAGTCAAGGCGAGAGTACCAAGTCTTTGTACGAGTTGTACGGCTTAGTACCACCCCCGCCTAATTTTCGGCCAGGAAAAACCCTGTCTAGTCACTGATCTTGGTCACATCAAACTCCTGAGTCTGGGTCTGACTGAGGCTCAAACATGTGACTGAGTGTCTCTGATATTTCCTCCGCTAATCATCCTGACCAGCCTGATCCAGATTTCTCAGTGACGAAGTAAGAGTAGATGAGAGTATTTTTACATAGTTGAAACATGTCTGGAGAGGAACGTTAAGACATTTTAAAGAGCCACAGATAAGTAACTGTAAAACAGAGGAATATTCTGTATACTGTATAATGTGGCATTGGTAAACATCTAAACAGGTTAAATGACAGTTAGGTAGATAAGCAACTATGTGCCATGGAGTATCAGAATATACAACCACTACACCAGTAAAATGTGAAAACGACATTGGTTTGTAATATTTTTCAGTTTGAATGATTTTATAGGTGTTTTAATTTCATCATAAACACTTTATTATGAAAGCATCAGTGCAAAAGTAACATTAATCCTTTGGTTTCAGCATTTTCTGAGAATTATTCAGAGAGAAAGGCAACAGGATGTTCATTGCACTAGTGTTTGGTTCATTCTGCTACACTTTGGCAGGACTGAACCATACCAAGGTGATCTTGCTCATTAGGTTCTCCTCTCTGGCTGCAGGTGTGCCAGTCACTGAAATGTCCTGATGTAGAGTTGGTTGGAAAAACACTCCATCAACTCAATGGCACATATTCGTTTGGATGAAAAGTTTGGCAGAGAGCTGGATTGACTCACCTAGTCCCAGCACCAGAGTGGACCACATGTTGATGTTCAGCATCATGTGGTTGGCACTGGTCTGGAAGCGAGCCCTCATGTGGTCCTGGGCCACGCCAGTCAAACCGTCCAATGTCAGAGAGACCAGCTATGACACACGAAGACACACCACCAGGCCATGAGACAAATGTCATGGAAATGCCACAGTAACCATGGATACAGAAAGGAGACACAGATTGATCTGCAACACATGACAATAAATGAATTGAAATGGATGGACTATAAATATATGTTATCTCACCAGCAGAATCTCTCCAAAGCCAAAAACATGGTCATCTGCAACAGCTGAACTCTTGTTGGGTTTGTAGAGGAACAGAGCCACACCGCTCACAATCAGCAGCACACACAGGTATTTAGCCAGTGGGTACTTCTTCCTCAGTATTGTAACTCCGAGGATCATCACTGGAACAACACAACAACAACAACAACATGATGATGGATCACTTTAAGCCGTGCATACCAGTGTAACATGCCTGTGGTGTGAGTTAATCTCACCCCTGGATGCAATATCAGGGCTTCACCCCCTGAGAGTGGAACATATGGATGGTGAAAAAAAATGTGTGTATGTGTGTGTAACAACAGATAACAAGCTGTGAGTGGTGACATATAACCTTCATGTACAAACAGAACAAACTCTAACCTGCAGCAACTTTGCTCTGAACTCCACACATCTTGAAACAATCTGTTTACTCTATATGTCCTGGATCAGTTCAGAAAGATAACAGAATCTCTCTTGTTTGTCAAGGACCATATACACATGGGTTACTTAACTTTGTATATATGTACATTAGCACATTACATTATGAGACCTGGCAGCTCACGAGTTTGTCAGAAATCAGACATTTGAACATCATAAGACCAACTTTATCCCCAGACTGCCACCAAAAAAAATATGTCACAGAGAAATACAGGAAGAAACCTCAGGAAATGCACGTGTTCATTTTTTACAAAGCGCAAATATAACCTCAGACATCAGTTTATTATCAGATTTTGTTGGTGATATCCTGTGCAGGTATGCAGGTGATATGCAGGCAGAAAGCAAGACACAAACCAAAGTGATTTCATAAGATTTACCTGGTATGGGCTTGCAGGATTTTCCCAGCACCTATCACAAGAAAAAGATGAGTTTCAGGATATGATCGCACTAAGCAGCTGCACTGATACAACATCCCAAGAAATCATATTAACCATCTAACTTTGCCCCATCTAAAAGGGCAGACTCACCTGTGTGGGGTAGTTGACATATTGAAGGGCAGAGTTACTGGACACCATGGCTCCAAGATAAGAGAGGGAACACAGTCCATAGAGCCAGTTCTTGGTGTGATCTGGTTTTGAGCCCTCAAAAAACTGGATCACTGATGAAAAGGAGAAAGAGGTTTTTATTAAAAGGAATCCACAACAATATAATAAATTTACAACTTCAGAAATATATGTTAGATGTTTTTTTTATATATATATTAACCCCTTTTATTAGTTTTTTTGTCTCCTCTGCACAGCACATACTCACAGATCTTAGCAAACAGAGCATTGATAATGCACTGGATGAAGACCAACGTCCGGGCGAATCTGAACTTCTCCTTCTTGTCTCCTTGACCATATTCACCTCGAGTGCTGGAAAAGTCAGAGAAACAACACTGATTTGAACGCGACAGATCACAGACAATGAACTTGAAACTGAAGTACTCCTCAATTGCCTTCTTGGCAGGAGCATGGCAAGTGAGGTTAAAGAGTGGAGTGCTTTCATCAGTCTCCCAGCTGTGAAAAGGCCATTTATAAAGGAGAGGCCATAATGCATTAAATTACAACTGACAGGCTCGGGTGGTGGTGGTGGTGACATTTTGTTAGAGGACCAATACTTTTCTGGTTGTGTCAGTTTGCAACTGTAATCAAGAACTCACAGAAAACTGTGATATCAATATTATTTGATGACAATATGTAACAGAAGTTGTATTCAACTATTGAATTAATTATATACAATTATTCAGGTTGTGAAAAGGCTGCTTCACCAGAGACACCAAGTCATTTTGGAACCAGATATGATCCCTGTCCCCTCTAGTGACTTAGGCAACAACATACCATCTGTGTCATGCCTCAGTATGTGGTATGCAATAGAGGCTGAGCTCCCCTTACTTAATTTACTCTTTCTAGAGAACCACAAATAACCATTACGATTTGCTGGGTTTTTACAGATCTATTTGAGCAAAATATGAAAGATAATAAAACATATAATAAAAGTATTATTCCATCTATGAGGGATAATGACATGAAATTTACAGTGAATTAGAAATAGAGAGTACCTACTATAGGTTTTAGGGGACAATACTCTGCATTTTTAATAACACACTGTCACCAAACTCTATTAATAAATCTGCTAATTTAAAGTGTAATCGATGTTGCGTTTCTCATCGGTAGGGGCAGATTTGCATAACATACAACGAATAGTTCGGACACATTAGCTCATTCTGTACTCTATGGTGTTTCATTTGCACCTATACCAATTGGAAAAGTTGTATTAATTAGAAAAGGTAGCATTTTTTTTCGAGGTGCGCTCTCAATGGGCAAGTCAGCATTAAATAAGCAGATTTTTTAATAGAGTTTGGCACTGGACACAACGACATCTGCTTTGGAGTTACTTACATCGTCTCTTGTAATATTCCGTAATAAAAGTAACACACAAAAACTCCGAGGAAACAAACAATGAACCGTATCCGCATACTGTCCCACGGGGAGGTGGGTTTCCCTGCTCCCTTTCCTGCAGCCATGCTGTCGTCCACCAGACCCGGTATGGCAACCGACACCGTTCCGCTCCCCGCGCCCCTCACACCGACGTCCCGCTCCACTATAGCCGATGTCACGAGCCCGGAAATGGTGCTCGCGTTTTAATGTTGGCCGTGGATTTTGTAAAAGATGAAGGTTTTGCTGATGGATATCACCAAACCCTTTTGTGCACAGTGAGTGTTATTTCTCAAAGCTTGCTAACGGTATCTTGAATTGTCTGGAGATATCAAGTCATTATTGTTTATTTTGCATCATTCCAGTGACTCTCCAGCGTCCGACAGTCCAACTATCTGCTCCGGGACAGCTGTAGCATCAACAGCATCCCATTCCCGCATGTACAGGTGAACTGTCAGGTGAGTTTAGGTCGTGTTTTCATTCAGAAATCAGACCTATAATTAGAGAAAAAATTATAGGTCGCGTCAGGAAAATGGGTTTTGTGAAAAGACCCCAAAGGTGTCTGCAGCCACGCCTGAACTGTTAGATTTACATTCGTGAATTAAATCACGGACACTAATGCATTGTGGTGTGTTTAATGTAACCGCGTCAGCCAAAAAACGCAACATGAAATGTGAAGTATTATAATTAAAACTGAGTTTTTTTTGTCGTGTTTTGTGATACAGCAGTTGTAAAGACAACTATTCAAAAATGTGAGGTCCTTTCCTGAAAATGTCGCGTGCCTTTTAGTCGTCCTAGGATGTGGATTAAATTCATTGGTCCATGTAAGGCAGTAGAGATCCACCGTGGGCCAATCAGAAAGTAGATTTGAATTGAAAAAGGCGGTGCTTATGTTTAAAAACCACAAATCCACGTGTCAAAAGCAGGCACAACAACAATAAAAAAAAAAACACAGAAATAAAAGTAATATAAAAAAATATTTCAACGCCCAGAAAATTGGTTCTTTTATTTTCTTTACAATAGCAACAGCACACTAAACATTCTTAACTGTTATCACCCTTAAAAAGTAAGAAAAGGGCTTATAATCAGGTCTGAGAAAACACAGAGCTGAGAGATAATACTAATTGTTCATTAGCATCTGCTTATTCTATGATATTTTTACTGTAGGTCATGTTATTAATCAGTGTTGCATAGGATAATGCTGACATTATCCATTTGAACAATAACTCAAACATCAGGGAATCATCTTCTTCCACATCAAAATGAATCTTGAAACATTAACAGGGTCCAATGAGGCTCAGATTGAACAAAAACTCAGTGTGACCCACTCAAGATCTTAAAAGCTTGACCAAATTGCAACAGTTTGGTTAGAACAATGCCCACTGAAGGCGAGTAAAGCTAATAAAACACCCATTCCTGCCTTTAAACCACCAAAGTATACACAGAAATATATGTCAATTTCTTTAGTGAATACAAAAACAGTATCACCATACTCATAACTTCCTTACAAAGATACAAAAATATATATCTTGCTAGAAATACATTTGTAGAAAAGTAGGCCACTGTAAACTACAGCCCAAAAATATTTCTCTTCAACCAAAAGATTTTATGAATTTTCAAGAAAAAACCCATCACATGAATTCTCTCAAATTAAGCTGAAACTTCATCCATGCGTGATCTAAGCGCTTGAGTTTTCGACTCTGAATTATCTTATTTTGACATTAAAATCATCCCTGGCAGACTGCAGTCTTTGTCTAATAATGTAAAAATGAACAAAGTCAAAAACTAAGTCATTTGTAAAATTTTTCCAGCATTTGTCAACATTTCCACATATTAGGTCCTGTAGTCTAATCCATAGCCAATATTGGAAAATACTAGGACAATTCAAGTGCTGTTGAAGTAAATATCAGCTGAATCCAAACATCCTGCAGTTGGAAATCATCAGTGAAGCAGCCAGATTTTTAGGCTAAATTTTTCTCTAAAGTACAATGACAACATATGCTTCCAGTCTCAAAGTCTCTTATTTTGATCACAGTCATAATGGCATGTTACAGCAGTGATGAGCCAGGTGAGCACAGGTATCTGTTGGCACCCTTCGTGTAAAACACATCCAGTTTCTCCAGGTCCTGGCAGTGCAGTGTGGTTTAGTCCTGACGGGCTCTGCTCAGATATCCACCTACTGCATGCCCAGGTGCCTGGTGGGAGAGGCTTGACCTGGGCAGCCAGTGACAGGAGACACTGACAGGCCACGGAAGAGGAGGTCCATGGAGGGCAGGAGGGGCTTCAAAAGACTGACAGGGCAGAAAGCAGAGCCTCCGTGGGGGGTAAAGTTGACTTTATTGGGGTCAGGGCAGGATGGCTGGAGGAGAGGCTCATCCTGACAAGCAGACCTGGATGTACAGATGGAGAGAGTAATGGGGTTAATAGTGTTTTTCAGACAAAGCTCTTTTCAAATTGTTGTTTCAGATTGCAGTCGACAACTTTTGTAACTTAAGCTTGAGCCTTTTTTCCATTTTTTTCTTGACTACTCCAGTTACTTTTTGTGTACAGACAAGTGCAATGCCTTCAAGAAGAGACTGTTAGCCCCATTTGAATGACTCATTGTGTCACAGCTCTCTATCGCAGCAGGCGTTTTACCCACTTCAACTGTGGCTATTCAGAGCAGCTATAAACACTTTTGCCTTGAGACATGATTACCCAACATGTCACACGAACTAGTTAGTTTCAAGCATGAGCAGGCTTTTACTGGCACATACTCTAGGATCCTGGATCATCAATGGCCCTGAACACAACAGTGTTGCATGTTGATACATTTATAACATCACAATACCAATCACTATATGTGCCCATGTTCATATAACCCAAATGTAAAATGGATTGCTGACCTATTAACAGTGATTTGAGTGATAATGATGACAATAATAATAATAACAATAATGATAATAATAATGATAATAATAATAATACTCACTAATAATACCTTATCAAGCTTAAATACAAAGTGTTTTCTAAGTAAAAAGAGATTAAGTAATCAAATCTGAAAGCCATGTAAGCCTCCCTAGTAGGTAAAACAAAGTTTAGGAATATGAGAGCATATTAAAACTGCACTGAGCCCATACATAAACAAATGGATGTGCAAGTGCAATAAAAGAGAAATAAGTTCTCACGTGTAAATAAAATGCAGTTTATGTTTACCTATATTCATTCAGCTTTGTTGTGCTTGTTTTTAGCTGTATGTCTTTCTCTCCATCTCCTGCAAACTGTTTTTGGAACGGTGTGTAGGTCCACAGAGAATAACGAATAACCAAAGTCAGATTCCTTGTATGTGTACACACATTTGGCCAATAAAGCTGATTCTGAGTCTGATCTTTTGCTATTCTATGTTATATCAAGCTAGTTACATATCAGGTCAAAATTTGTTTTACTGTCAGCACATGATTCTGGTGGGGTCCCAAAGTAAAGTTTTCCCCTGAGGCCCCCCAGCAGCTTGTTCCAGCTATACATGATGTTCTGGTCTATTAAGTGATACTTACATTGCCTCCTCACATACTCGAACCCGCTCACAGCCTTCTGGTGGTTCGCGCTGGAAGGAGTAGGTTTTGTTAGGACGAGGGGACGTGGAGCAGGGCTGCAGCAGAGGAGGCTCCAGAGCAAATGAAGGAAGCAGTGTAGATGGAGAGGGACACAGGGTCTCACAGTTCACCGGCTCTGTACGCAGGGTCAGAAATATCCAAATATTTTTAATAATACCTCAAATAAATTCAGCACTCAAGAGAATCTCCAAATTAATTAAATCACAGCGTTGTCTAACCTGGCTCTCCCATGGGGCAGGGAGATTGTGACGGAGACAAAAGCAGTGGGTTCAAGACACAAGGGGAATTTGGGGGTGACAGAAGTGACGGATCTAGAGGACAGGGGGACTGAGAAGGAGAGAGGAGGGAAGCATCCAGGGGCCCCGGGGAGGGCTCACTCTGAGAGCCACTACTGCATCTCTGGGCAGGGACAGGAGCTCTGTGGCCGTCTGGGATGTCCAAAATCTGTAATATTCAGGCGGAAACAAGTAAAGTGGTCAGACAACGCAGATAAAGAAACAAAAGCAAAGAGTGAGGGAAGGTACAAGCAGGTAAAACTAGGAGGCAGACAATTTCTGTACTGGCTTAACTAATATTTCATATTTAGAATTATTTTAAAGGTCTCATATTTTATAAAGTGAGATTTACATGTCTACTTTGATTATAAAGCAGGTCTAGGTTCCATATTAATACTGTGAAAGTATCAAAGCGCTCAGTCCACAGAGAAATGCAAACAGCCTGTAATTCAGAAACTGAGCCTTAAAACAACACGTCAGGACTTCTGTAACTTTGTGATGTCACAACAAAGCAGTCGCCACTTTCAGCCACGCCCCAAGCCCCGTCCACCTGGACCCACCATTCAACCTCGCAGGATTTGGTTTCTCTGAGTGTTTAACTGAAATCTGATATATTTTTATTTGATCATTCAGAAAGCAGTCAGCCAATCAAAACAGAGGATCAGACCCTCCTCCCCTCTGATTGGTTCACCGACCTGTTGTTACTAGAGCTCCAGAGAGAAGCCTGAGAGAGGAGATGTAAAACTACACTGAGATGATTTTTGGTTCTTATAACCATAAATATATCTTCTTATGGATCAACACTTCAAATAAAACATGGAAAAGTGTAAAAAATATGGGACCTTTAAGTGTTTTAATGCTTATGTCAATGGTAGAGCACGTTGATCAGTGGCCTAACCTCATGCTGATCGTCTGGTTTCTCAGACACAAACACCTCCTCCAGCTCCAGGTTGAGGCCTTCAACACTACGTCGAAGTCGGGGGGCGAGTCTGTTCAGCGGCATCAGGGGTATTGTCTGAGAAAGAACAAGTAAAATATGAAAATATTTAGAGGGTATCTGTGATTGATTGCGCACTTACAGCAACTATGTTTCTTTACTTTCAAAAAAAATTGTGTGTCTGATGTCTGTTCTATACTGTTTCAATGGCACGGTATGATATTCTGGTTTCAAATTGTCTTTCTGTGACAGCATGGCAGCAACACAGGAGCTTTGATGACAGCCATTCCTAAGAAAAGCACCAGTGTTTTTTTATATCCCTGTTGCTGAGCTCTGCCTAGCCTGCCTGTGAAAGCCAGTGTGGTGTCTGTGGTATTCATGAAAACTTTGTTCTCTGTGTCTTTAACTCACATATCCTCAAAGGAAAAAGAGCAACGGACTACCTGAGTGATGCCTGCCGCATGACCTGCTGGCAAGGGATGGTGGGGGAGCTCGCACCCCGCCGAGGGAGGGGCATGGCGGGAGCGCTTCTGCAATTGGTGCCTCAGCTTGGCCACCTGAGGGCAGAGTGGAGAGAAAAAATGATTCAGGTGTCGCTATAATTCATTCTGAAAGGGAGCGGTTGCTCATTTTCCCCTCTGGGGCCCTGAAAGTTTTGTGGTATCAGTGGAAGGCTGCAGAGTAAAGGGTGTGAGTATGAGCGAGAAACAGAACGACTCATTAATGAACTGCGATAATGATGAACTGAAATACTTGCCTCTCTCAGGTGTTCTGCACTGCCCCACGACGCTGAGCGCTTGTGTCCTCCAACACTTCTCCTTCCCTGGGTCTCCTCTGCCCATGAACTTGGAGTCTTTAAAACAAATATGACAATGTGGTGAATAAAGAGTCCAGTGTTTTGTCTATCAAACTTCTCTGTGGTAGAAAATGGCCTTTTTTTGGCAGGAACTCTGGCTGTCAGCGGGATGACCTTTGACAGGCTTCTTGTATTTTGTGTTAAACCCAGTGAACTCCAATCAACGCTACAACTCGAGAGCACAACACTGTAGAACAGCCCCACAGCTGTCTCGCACACCTGCCCCTCAACAGCTGTACAGAGGAAGGCAAAGAGAAAACCACTCTGAGCTGCAAAACAGCCCCGCTTCCACAAACATAAGAAAACATCCAAACCACATCAATGTTAAGACTATAAATACAGAGCTACTATCAGCATTCAACACATCAGCGCACACACAAACACACACACACACACACACACACACACACACACACACGCTATATCACGCAGTTGTGCTGTTATTCACAAAGTCACACACTGTAGAGGAAAAACAAATGAACACAAACAGCCAGCAGGGAGACTTTTATGTGCACGTCTTTTGTCAGTCACAACTCCACAACATCCTACTACGCCTGTACCGATTTCTTCACATTGACTCTTGATCTTCTACCAGTGGGAGTCTGGTTGGCCGCTGCCGGCTGTTGGTTGGGTGCAGACGACTGGCAATTCATCATCAACAGGTGAAACCCAGGTGGAGTTGACCAACAGGATCAGATACTCGCAGTTCTGGTGCCTCCACCGCCTCCTCAGCCTCAACTGCTTCACACGCTTGCAAACAATCTGATCCACTCACTGGTGTCCATGATATTCATGAGGCAGCTAACATTACACACAGTCATTTAGCTCTCACTGCCCGCAGCACGGCTACGTCATGGCTTTCCGTCCCCAAAATACAACCCGTTCCTTAAGCGTCGGCAACACAACTCAGAGAAATCTTACTGGAGCCATTAGCTGCCTGCAGGACGGCACCGACTACATCTCCTCCCATGCCCGGTCCACTCATATGTAGTCAGTCATCGCCGGGCTAAATAAGTCAGAACGCAGCATGAGTCAGACATACAGTGACATCGGTGTAGAGTTACAGCTGCCGCCACCACCCCCCACCCCCCTCCCATCATCCAACACCAACAACCCCACCCTCCCCAAAACATGACCAGGGGGGATCATGGGACACAGACCTATAAAAAGACTCAAAGGTAGTGGAGCATTTGGTCTGCATGGCTAATGTTTCCAGCTTGAGCGATTCATTAACGTTTACCTAATTCCTGCTTGGAACACGATAACAGAAACAGAGCTGCAAATGATTATTATCTTCACTATCAGTTGATCGATTAGTTATAATTTTGATTAACTGATCCATTTATCAGTTTGTTAAATTTCAAAACATTGTGTTAAAGCCGGAGGTCAAATCTTCACATTGACTGGTTTGTACTACCAGTGGTTCAAAAGGTATTCGATGTACAATCATATAAAACAAATAAAGCAGCAAATCCTCATCTTTAAGGAGCTGGAGGCACAGAATTTATTTATTTTTCTCCTATATTTCAACAACTATTGAACGGATTGCCGTGAAACTGTAGGGACAAGATGAATCCCACTGACTTTGGTCATTTTCTGACTTTCCTTTGGTGCCAGCATGAGGTTCACATTTGTGTATTTTTTAGTTGTTGGAAACTTTGTACACGCATTCACACCCCCCTCAAGATGTGTTGTTAGTGACTTCGGTGATCTCCTGATTGTTATTTAACGCCTCCATCAAAATTTCAGCTCGTCCACTACTTTGGTTTATGAATTTTCTGTTGATTGATTAACTTATAAACTGACTAATCGCTTCAGCATTAAGCAAGAACAACAGCAATCTAGTGGTGCCTCCTCTTGTTTGTTTTGATTCAAGCTTTGTGCCTGTGTTTTGTGTTGTTGTGCATTGCATACTATATAAAGTTGTTATAATATTATTTGGTCCACACTCTGCACATATCTACAGAATTACAGTGTAGTTAAAGAAACACAGTTTTAATGTAATAATGTTAGAATCTCAAGAAATACCAATACTAATCCACATCAGTGAGTTTTCAGCAGAGTTGACAAAGTGCCTGATGAGGAGTGAAAGAACAGCGAACAATCAGTTATATCATCTGAAGTAACGCAGAGGAACCATGGCAGAAGGAGCTGCTGGGTGGGGTAGTGGTGTGTGTGTGTGTGTGTGTGTGTGGTTGAGGCGAGTGCTGGGGGATGGGGTGTCTGTATAATGAGGTCAGGCGGGGTCTGTTCCTCACAATGGAGGCAAAGGGGGTTCGTTCGGGCTTAAACTGTGTCAGGAGCGAAGACGAGGCTGCGGAGCTTGGTGATGTTAGTCGGGGGCTTTGTGCACTAGTTAGGAGCAGATACAGTCGAGGGGGGAGCGAGGCAAGAACAGCAGACTTTAAAGAAGAACAAAAACGACTATTTCCAGTTGGCTGCCTTCCACTCGCAGCGTCGAACTGGAACCACCAGACACCTGCAGTGCCAACATCAGATATGTGGTGCTGTGCAGAAATCCTTCACATACAAGAGAAGCTGAGCAGAGAAACATTTGGTGTCGCCTTTTTTCTGCAACATGAAGCAACAGGTTTTAAGGGAGATATGTTCTTACACCACCAGTTGCATTGGTATAGCAGACTGCCATTTATCTCGACCCGGTCTTCTTTCATTACAGTAATTACACCAGAGTATCACAACTACTTTAGCACTATCATGACATATTGATATTCACCTGTGTGGCTTTGTCATTGACACAGGTAACAGCCGTGCTCTCTGCCTCTTTGGGCCACTGTCCCTGCAGATACGGTCCAACGATGGCGTCCAAAGAGAGAGTTCTGCGGATGGTGGGTTTCGGAGGACGAGCCGTGGTCCTGTCTGCTTTTGGGAACAGACATAACACACATTAAGTCAGTTAGCATGTCAGGCCTTTACTCAGTACATATAAAAACTATTTCTTGCTCACAGAAGTGATAAAAACTTATGCTATGATCACATTCAGCTTGTAGTAACTCTGCATGTGACTTGTGCGTGTATACAAACTCTCTTTAATAGGCCAAACAGTATTTTAACACCAGTGGTAGTTGTTCACAAAATTGCTCCCAGGCTTCCTCCCCACCAATAAGCATGCAGTGTATAGAGTTATGTGAGTGTAAGTGTGTGTGTGTGTGTGTGTGTGTGTGTGTGTGTGTGTGTGTGTGTGTGTGTGTGTGTGTGTGTGTGTGTGTGTGCACATGTTGGCAGCTCATTGTAATCTCTGGCAGGTGTGGACCATGCCTTTGACCTGGAGCAAAGCCATCCGACTGCACAACATGGGCAACAGTCACCACAGGCAACAAGTTTATCTACCACCAAGCTAGAAGCACACACACACATACACACACACACACACACACGGTATGTTGTCATCAGCCCAGGTTGCAGGGCAGACAGGATGTATAAATAAACAACCACTACATGCAGATGTGACTTTCATGGATACAATTAAAAAACAACAGAACCAAAGTAAAACAAAGAGGCCTTTAAAGCTTCTGCTGTGTTAGCACCAAGCCTGCAGCAGAGTTCCCACAGGTCAGAGTGCAAAGGGGCGACTGAGTGTCCAAATAACATTATGAGAACAGTGTTATGTTTCAGGGTTTGCAGCCCTCATTGTTGACTTAACTTTCTCATAGCACATGGAAATGTACTTTTTAGACCACAAATCAAGACAAGAGCTGGAGTCCATGTAGTTAGCTGGGTTATTATTCCAGTTAGCATGACATCTGAATAATATCAGTTGTAGCCATCAAATCAAGACTATTTTTACTAAAATAGTTGTTCTACTTTGATCAAATGAAGTGTGCTGTAAATGATTAATGTCTCATGTTGCACCCAACTAACAATGATGTGAATCACCCGTTAATCTGTTAGTTATTTTCTTGATTATACAATTAGTTGTTTTGTTTTAAAATATCCACCACAAAGGGCCCACCACAATTTCACAGACCCCCATTTTTTTGTCCAACCCAACAGTCCAAAACTTACGATTATTCAACTTCACAAGTAAATGAGACAGAGACGTGCAGAAATTCCCCACAGTGGAGACGCTGGAACCAGAAGACGTTTGAAAGTTTTGCTTGAAAAATGATTCAAACGATGAATCGATAATCAGACTTGTTACTGGTTCATTCATCATTTGTTTCAGCACTACTTTCCTCTGTGACACAATGAAGAGAAGGTGATGGGATCCATTTTGTTGCAGTACAATCTTGATCCTAAACAGCAAACGTTAAAAGCCCTGACCATAGGCAGCGTCATTTAAAAGGCTGATAATGATGAGAATGTGACCCCAAACTAAATGTTCAACTTTGGTGCACATGAGAGTGAGTGCGGATCTGAGCCCCCTCCTCCTGAGTGTGTATTTACCCGTCTTGACCTCTCTGCACAGGAGAGCGGAGCCCCTCTGGAGCTGGTATGGGACTGTGGCTTTGAGGGGCTGCAGGCTGGGGTTGCTGCACCCCCGAGGCGCTCCTCCACTTCTGCCCGACATCCCCCTACTCTGCTCCCACGGCCGAGCTCCGCTTATGAAAACACACACACACGCACGCAAGCACGCACGCACGCACGCACGCACGGCTTTTGCTTTTCTTCTTTACCGTCGTCCACTACAACTCTGCGGCGGCGCGGCGCTGGCTTTTTCTTCTTTCTCTCTCTCTCTCTCTCTCTCTCTCTGACCACATAGAATTGATCCAGAGTGATGATCCACAGCTCTGATCGGGCCTCTGGGTGGGCACCCTGCTTGAGCTTTCTTTTGTGATGATGACCATGATTCTTGTTACCTCACAGCTTTTTCTTTTTTTTTTCCCCCCCTTCCAAGTTGAAAAAAGTCGAGCTGAGTTCAGCAAATCACAGTAAACCGCGTATGATCCCTCATGTTGTAGTGAGAGGAGGACACGGGCTGCGGACGCTACACGATCCTCTCACACATTTCTGCTTGTGTGTCTCTTGTGTGAGAAGTGACAACACAACAGCTCAACCTGTGCAACTATCTCGTGCGGGCTGCACTTCCAAGGGCGATCTGGTTGGTTGCGGCAGAATTACTACTGAGCATTTATTGGTCATCACATCCATCTGTCTCCTGAAGGGAAAGCCCCCCCTCGAAAAAAACTTAAAAAGTTCCCACCCACAGATTTTTTTTTTTTTCTTTCACTATGTAGGGTATGCCCCTTCACCTCCTCCCCCTCAAACCCACATCCAAAATCCTTGGTCTTTTCAAAGTGTGTGTGTGTGTGTGTGTGTGTGTGTATGGGTGGGTGGGTGTGTGTGGTCGCCAAAGTGTGGTTCCGGGACCTCCAAAGGTCACTCAAGAGGCTCAGAGGGTCCGGAACAGTTTGTGTATATTTTTGATATATTTATGAGACTGGCAGAAACCTGGTCATGCACCTCAAGGTGCATTTAGTTGTAGTTATTACGAGCAAATAACAACCAATCAGAAGCCTTTCATACAATCATATAAACAAATGAAACTTATATTTAGTTTGGTATTTTCCATAAAGTTTGCCACCAAATCCCTCCCAATATGTTTGTGCTTAGTTCCTCACACATACTATCACTATGAGTTTTTAACCTGCTTAGTTATTATTAAATGCGCTGAGTGCACTACTCACAGGTGTTTTTTGTATAGGTCACACTTTAAACAAGACAGTCTGCTCAGATTTATTTTCATTACTGCAAAAATAAACAACCTTAATTTGAGTATTGATATGCTTTATAATGTATTTTCCTTGTGCAATGCAAATGGAGTGCCATGTGTTTTATAAACAATAATGAGTGCTGAAAACCCCCCTTTACATTTTTCACTATAATACTGTGATGTATTTTTTCCTACTAGGCACCCACCTAGCTCTGTTACCCCAGTCACGGAAGCAAAGTGTAGCTCTGTAAATATTGTCTACATAATGACTGAATGGCTTCAAGAAAATGGCTTCTCTATCAAGCTCCATGTCGTAGCACTGTAATAGCATATAGCTCTCAAGTGTAATTCAGAAGACCCTGCAGGCAGCAGGGTATATTGCAAGCATGATGTTCCTGCCAACAATACAAAATCTACAGAAAGCTCCATGGTTACAGTGTGAAAAGCAAACTTTGAATCTGGCGTGCACAGATGAGGACCGCAGTCTATGTGAAATGACATGAGAAAAAAATGAATCCAGTGGGTGTGTTAATGTTTCATAAACTCTATATTTAACAGCCATTTTGGTGACATGAATAAAGCTCCTCTCGTGCTATCTCCTGGGGGGGATGTGGTGCTCTCTGAAAAAAAGCTGTGGCTGAGAAAGTGAGAGGAGTGAGCCAGATCTCCTGTGAACAATGTGATCTAGTCAGATATCTACGCTGCAGTGAGAGAAAAAAACATCTGTATCAAAGGAGGGATCACAATCAGTCAGCGGCAGCTCACAAAAGACTGAAAAGGCCCTACATTAAAAAGCTTCCTTTGTCAGTTACTATTACAGTTTTCTCTCATCCTTTATCAGGTAGGTCAGAAGTCAGGGTCAGATATTAAACAGCAGTCATGGAAGTGGTGGGAGTTCAGAATCTGCATCATATGCAGGTTAAATGAAATGTTATGGCTGCTGTCGTCCATCTGGAGGAATCATTTGTACAGTCCTACCCGGCCAAGTTCGTTATAATAAGATTTATTTTATTTTATAATCAGCTACCCATGATTTTCCCTGTAAGACCGTGGTTCTTAGGAAATAATGAACGTTCGGGGCATTCATGCAGTTAGAATATTAAACCACAAGATGGAGCCGGACTACATGTATCCATGCACCCAGCTGCCTCAATGACTTATCTCCGTAAACCTCCTAAAACTAACCATCACTCTCCATACATCACTGATATACACAAACAGACAGGCATTCATGGAAAAAGGCAGTTTATTGCAACAAAAAACAAATAAAACAACCCAGTGAGCTGTGTATGTGTAAAAAGAACATACTGCTGTATTGGCTTAAATCAGATAAATTAACATATGCGGTAGCTTAAGATTTGATAGAATAAATAAATAGCTGCACAGATTTAGACATACTGTAGCAGTTTGTGGTGTTTGATGACTCAAGCGGGAATGATATCATCAGATACCATTCAGTCAAACTCATAAAACACACTGCTATGTCACTAGTAGGACAGAATGTAAGAACCCATCCTCTACTTCCTATGGATAATCTTTATCTCTTAAAATGATCATCACATCTCTCTTTGTTAGTGACTGCATTCAAAGAGCTGCAAGTGCTGTTTTGGTTACAAGAAAACAGGGGGGGAAGTACAGGCCAAAGGAGCACTAATGCATACTGACACTCAAATAAATAAGGAGCAAGATGAGAAAACAATTGAAGGAAATAAGTTGATGCTTTGGAGAAGGTACGACAGAGGAATTGTAGGATCTTGGATGAAGAGATCGACAGATAGTACAAAGTGGTGGTGGGAGAGTGTGAGAGCGTAGTCGAGCGGATAAGGCAAGGAGAAGGGAAAGAACCAAAATAGATGGATCTTTTCAGCTTAATGATGACTTCACTCTCATGTGTACAAAAATCCAGACGATGGTGTCATGACTTTTCCCGTTGTCTTCTCATGGGGCTGGACGGATGGTGGGAGCGGGGTTACGGTCAGGTGTTTGGGCATGGTCAATGCAGCATCACCAGGCAGACAGGCTGGGGGTTAAATCTCGGTCGTGGTTGGTTTGGAGCTCCTAGCTGGGAGAGAGCGCGGGGCTGGGTTCAGTGCTGATGTTGACCAAACACTCGCTGGACTTGAGGCTGGCCAGGGACTTGGAGCTCGGTAAAGACGCCAGAGAGCCACACAGACCCAGCATGGAGGGAGTGTTATCTTTTCCTACAGGGGCAAAACAGAGGAAAAAAAACACAATAAAATCCGCTTATGATCATGCATAGCTCAAGCTGCCCACATGGAACGCCATAAACAGACATCAAGCCTGCCTTTGTATGAGTATGTATATGTGCATGTGCATGGGAGGCTGCCACATAAAGGCTTTTATGCAGCCGGGAAAAACACAAACATATTCCTACTCCAGCAGAACTAACTTTAGTGCTGTGCTAGAGTGATGAAAATAAAGCAGTCCTTCTTTTAAATGTACTCTGTAGTGACTAAGAAATTATTTATATTTGTATAAAATGGCCATCTTGTCTGACAAAATGAATTAACCCAACATGAGTAAATGCAAGTTGTGACTTTCCCCCTGAATTTTATGATGGTGTGACAGCAACTTAAAATCTGTGAGCTTAATATCAGCACGACAAACTACTGCACATTTTACTGTATAAGCTACAATAAATATGTTGTGATGTGTTTAAATGGCACTTAAAAAGTCACTCTACCTGCTGAAGTCCAGGCAGCATCTCCGTTCTGTCTCTCTTCAGTCTTCTGAGAGTCAGAGTTCAGACTGACTTCAGCAGAAAGCTGCTCCAAACTGTGGAAACTCCTCCTGCATGGACAAAAATATCATCATGGCACAAATAAATTCTGGGTTCTGGGTCTTCTTTTTACAGTATGAGTGAGTTCATTTCCAGTAGGAATCAAAGTTAGGCTTTATCGTGTTGTCTTCGAGCCATTCTGCACATGTGAGTTTACCTGCGGAACAGTTTGACATCGCCTTGGTTGTTTGTGATGGTGGACCACTGGTTGACCAGCGGGATGGAGAGGTCTTTAGCCAGATGGGAGGTATCACAGGGCATGAGGGCAGAGCTGGATGAATCAAAGAGAAAAAAGGATCAATTTTAGAAGAAACATTTGTCATTTTAGTGGGCAAATATGACCTGAACATCAAAAAAATGTGTATTTCCTATGAAAGTCAATGAGCCACTTTTTTGTGTGAATTAAATTCAGTATTTTCTGAAGTCCTTAATATTACTCTTACTTAAATATACACACCGTGATGAAGTTACAACAACCAATCATACCCCCCGTCCCACAGTTTCTAAACATAGTCTGAAACTCAGTTCATAGCTGAGCTTAAAAACATCAAGTGCATCGACTGCCCCTTTTTTATTGTATCATTGTACAGTTGAAACTTCAGAGTAGAGTGTTCAGCGTGTCAGAGTAAAACATGTTGCCTCTCAGTGTGTATTGCATCATAATCTGGCATCATAAAAAATTACATAATCAAAAATTACATCTGCAAAAGGTTTTTAGATCAACGACTTATTTCTACTAAGGAAAAATATCCATAGAAATAACAACTATTCCTAATTATAAGGTTATTTTAAAATTGCAATTGTAACTCCTCATTAAACCGCTACATAGACATGTACTTCATCATGATGGAAAGCTAACATATGTTTGTGAAAGGAAATGTAAACATAATCCAAACTGGATCTGCAGTGATAACGTCTGGAGCACATGGTTAAAGATGGAACTTTTTATGGGGTCGATGTGATCCAGAGTGTGTTCCTGCGCTTCCTTACAGTTGTGCCTGCAGCTCCAGCACGATGGCCTCCAGCTCCTTCTTCTCCTGTTGGCCTTGCACTGTCAGCTCCTCCACCTTGGCTCTCAGACGCTTGTTCTCAGTCTCCACGTTCTTCAGCTGTGACTCCCGCAGACGCACCAGCTCCTCCAGGTAACCCTGCACACCACGCAGATAAATGAAAGATCGATTTATGTGTTGAAGAATCTAAACAACATTAACTTGGTTTTAGAGGTTGTTGTGAGTCACCTTCTGGGCGTAGACGATCTTAAACCTCTGCTCCATCTTGCGACACTTGTTGCTCCAGCTCTCCTCGTCAGTCACCAGGGGGATGTAGGGATGCTCTGGGACACTCTCCTCACTGTTACTGCTGTCTACACTGCGGCGGTCCTCCTCATCACTCAGGTAGTCATAACTACACAACAGAGAGGCAGGAGGCTTAGTGTAGCACTTCCACACATGCAATACTAAAGGTGAAGTGACAAGATGGGCTGGGTCAGTCTCACCTCTGCGTGAACTTCAGGTAGGGTGTGTAGTCAATCACAGCTGGAGATTTCCCGTCCAGAGTCTCCCCCTTCAAGCAAAAACTGCACAGAAACAGAGACAAAAAAAAACTAACTTTTTATGAAGATTGGTGATTCGATGGGTGTGTATGTGTATGATCCATCAGTAAATATCTATTCTACTAATCTGTACATGGAGTGGATATTTTTCAATAATGACCACTTTCACACTGCACGTTTCAGTCATGCTTTCACTTTCACAACTGATGCACATGAGAGAGCACATTTACATCTTTTCACAATGTATTATTCATGAATACATACTATGTACTAATATCTTAACAGATTTATTAAACATAGGGGCTGAGACCCCAGACAAGGTCACAAAAGATTACATATTGTTAGTTATTTCATATAATTTTATTTTTGAAATGTATAAAAATAGGTTTGAAATAGCTCATTATTTTTAATATACTCGTATTGTAAAATAGAATATGCTATTCTCAAAATCATGTTACATCTTCAAGACTCTTTAATTCCTAAATATTTAGGCTGAAAATAATGTAACAGGCCATAAAAAGTTATGGAAATATGGTTGTTATAACTGTGTTGATTTTAAAAAAAAAGCCTGAGGTCTACTGGTGTATGCACTTATATATTGACACACGCTGTATATCAGCAGTGTATGTCTTCACCTGAAATCAATGGCACTCAGTCCGATCAGCATGCCGGTCAGAACTGTGGCCTCCTCTCTCAGCATAATGGCTCCATCGTCATAGAACCTCCTGTCAGGTAAAGAGGTGGTTAACATATCTGAACTTTCAGACATGACAGTGATACAAGAGTCAATCTACCTGCAGCCAGTTAATGACTCAGTTTATAGCACAGCTGATGTTCTGAACATCTGTAGCAGGCATGTGAAAGTGATGTCTTTTACTTTTACACAAGAGTTATTAATATGAGCCAGCCAACATGGAGACATACAGTGCATCCTTGCATCCTTGAAATGTATGGCTTGTTCCTTTAAATCATTAGTCTGACCTGGTTGTTCTTGTGTCCCTCAGAGCAGTGGACACATATTCAGACAGGCGCTTCTCCATCAGCGCCACTCGAATCCACGCCCGGCCCTGTAGCACAACGAAAGAAGTGAGTAGGAACAGAGGGCTTTCTTTGGTGCTCTCTCAAGCAATACCCCCCCCCACACACACACACACACACACACAAATCAATTTTGTGCATATAAATGTCCTTGCCTTGGCTCGTGATGTACTGATGTTCTCTATGTTTTCAATGCTAGCGATGCAGTTGTTCTGCACCTTGCTGCACGCCAGCCGGATATATTCCCAGAAACTGCGCTGTCCATCTGAACTGAACCAGCTTCCTGAACCTGGTCCAAGATTTAAACACAGCAGTGAATCACTTCTGCTCTGGCAGGCAGCAGCCCACACTGTCAGCATGCAGCCATGGCAACACTATAGCTGAGTGTATCATCATACCTGCTTTTGGCTTTTTGATAATAATATCACTTTGTGTCTATAGATAATGCCTGCTGTATAATATATTTCTATTCTCGTTTTATATTAACCAACTTTTCACTGTCTGACATCCAAAGTCATATTAACTGATTTGTCCATCTTTTCCTGTGCTATATGTTACCTGCATTGTTACCTTTGAAGCGGTGGCTGAGGATGTGCTCTAAAATGGAGGCAAAGTTAATAAATTCCTCGGATGAGTCATCTATGGGCTCTGCGGTGTACTTTTCTAGGAGAGTCTTTACAGAGAATCTGAAATAGAAGCACAGAGAGAAAGTGGAATTAGAAAAACACTAGAACACAAGTGCAATGAAAAAAAAAAAGCTACTTCACAAATGTGAAGAGTTTGAACTTTCAGTTGGTTGCCTGCGGCACAAGCCACTAAAATGCAGCGGCGTACTGTATCCAAGCAGACAAATGTACTACTGTATTTGAACCCTGCAACAACAGCTGGAGGAGGGTTTTTTCTCTTTTTTGGAACCATGCCATCTTATCATACTGAGGTCACCCCAATTGTCTTGTGTACTGCACAATGTACCCTTCAGTGCTTTGGCAGTGTTATCATGAAAACAATACAATTAATCCCCTGTCTTTTCAGCCTTTGTGCATACTGCGCTTCCAGGTCCTTTTGGGTCTTGTCCCTCTGGGGCACCGGCCAGCATCAAAGAATGATCAAATAATTCCCTCCCCCTCATCTATACATGGTGGTCTGATCTATTTAGGGCAGATGCTGCTGCTGCAGCTTTCGTTTGGCTTTTGACCTCACACGCTCACCCTGCTGCACAACAGGAAAGAGGCTACGCAGCTTGCATGTTAGGAGCCGGCATTCAGGCACGGGCTCAGGCTGACTGCCTCTGCTTCGATGGGCAACACTAGCATCACCGAGGGCAAGACTGCCCTGGCACTGGGAAGCACCTCCATAGCCAGGGGAAAAACTACCGTCTCCATGGGCAAGTCCTCCATCTTCAGGGGTGTGACCACCACCTCCATGGGAGACTCTACCATTCAGAGGCAAAAGACGACTGTTGCTCTGGGACGGGCCAGCTTCAGCCGGGGAACCACAACCACCTCCTTCCGCAAAGCCTTGACGTCCAAGCGCAGGAACACCTAGATGGAAAGGACCCCTGAACCCAGGGCTAAGACATCCAAAGCATCCAAGCAGCCCAAAAAAGACTCTAACAATGAGTGGAAAACCACATTCTCGTCAAGCAAGACCTCCTTCACCAAAGGCAGAGTTTCGATCCTGAGGACTAAGTACGCCATCTCCTGGGGTAAATCCTCGATCTCCTGGAGCAGAACCACCATTACTTTGGGCAACACCAGCATAGCGGTGGGCAAAACATCTGTTACAAGAGGGGAGACTACGAGCTCTCTCGCCACTCTGACATTCACTCATGGGACCAAGTCCGTGTCTGTGGTCAAAACCACCCTCATCAGGGGCAAAGAAACGCACAGCAACATCTACTGGGATTTTCACACATGAATCCTTCACACACTTAAAAACCCAAGGATATGCCTATCTGGTCAGTTTTGGCAGGTTAGTAGTATAACAGTCAATAAAACAGAGCTGCTATGTTTGTGATCAATGTGGTCAATAAGGCAGGACGTTATTCTGGTATCACCTGTCTGCACAAAGTACAAGAGCCGATTCTCAAGTAAGAAAGTGCTAAGTGAGTTACAGATCTAACGGGTTTGAAATCAAGAGCCATGCTGAGCGTGTTATGCAAATGTGACGGCGATGAGACGATGGTTTATGGTGTGTCAACTTGGCAGGGAGGGCAAGTGTGAAACAGTTGTGTGTGATGTATGTGGAGACACAAGAGAGTGTGTATGCTTTACATCAGCAATATTCTCCTGTATATTGTGCATGTATAGTCATCAACATTTCTACATCTTTGGTATAAACGTGGTATACTTGTGCATGCTGATAAGATCTGATCTGCACTGCCATAACTATTCTGCCACAGAAAACTGTACAAGCTGACTGATGTAACAGTGCTTATAAAAGTAACATGTCTAAACCCTGCTTGGCTTGATTGTTTTGTATGTAGAGCTGACTTTTTATGGGATACTCAATTATCCTTGACATAAAATGGAAAAAAAAAGTACAGACTCAATTGCTGGAATGAGTTTTAAGCAGTTCAACAAGGACACAAATGGATAATAAAGAACAACTGAAGGGGACCACACCTATATTTCAGATGGAGGGACAACACAAATACAGGATGGGTGCAATCAAAGCCTAAAACACATGTGGAGAACATGAAGACATTCATCCTGTCTCTTATCAAATCTGACACCATGCGACTCATTTCACATATGGTATACGCAGCCGTACACAGAGGGAATGTCTTACAATCAGAGGCTATAGGGAACAATGGCTCAGAAGAAAGTGATGTCACCGCAGATTGTCCCCTTTGCAACAATGTGTCCTTCAACTGTCCGGTGTCGTCGTGGCGGTGGGACAATCGCTCCACTGTCCAAGTCTCCCCAGATAGGCTGTGGCCACCTACGGCTGCCTCTGTCCATTCACAGGGACACATGGGTGGTATGTGGCCTTCCAGAGCCCACGTCGACCAGCTCAACGAAGGCATTATGCGACACGGGGGTCGCGCTATCCACGCTTAGCATTCTGGTCTTCTCTGGATCATAGCTGATGTTACTATTACCCCTGAGGTCTTGCAGAGCAGGTTGTGCTGCATGAGTGTGCGATGCTTTGTGTCGAGTGAGCCCCGAACCCCACTGTCGAATCTGGGTCAGGAAGACGAGCTTCTCCTCAATGGGCAACACCAGCTTCACCGAGGGGAAGACGGCCTTAACCCTGGGCAACACCAGCATAAAGAGGGGGAAGACCAAGCTTGCCATGGGGAACTCCTCCATCACCAGGGGCAGGAGCACGACATCTCTGGGCTCCTCCACCATCACCAGTGGGAAAACCAAGATCTCCCTGGGTGGTGCCTCCTTCAGCAGAGGCACCACCACCACCTCTTTTCGGAAAGCCATCTTCCCCAAGCGCAAGACGCTCTAGATGAGAGGGGACCGCGTCGCAGGGGGGGGGGACTGGCACAAAATGTCACAAGAAAACAGCACCATCACAGAGAACATACGGACACCACTTCAGCATCTGCACAGGGTCTGTTCCAACTGAGAGCGAAAACTGGATTAAATTTACTTTTGGAGCTTTGACTTGTTATGGCCATGCCGGATTTATCAAGGACACAGGTCAGTGGCATTTAACTGATAATGTTTTCTGCAAAGACCAAGTAGCTCAGTCAAGGTTTCAGTGTATAATAGAGCTCAAGGGTGTAAGGTTGGGCTCCTGCAAGTATGTGCTCTACTCCACCATGAAACAACAAAATCCACTTGGCAGGTGACGCCAGTTTGCTTGCGAGCACAAATCTTGTGTGTTGGGGCAGGTATTTGACTTCTGCATTAGACCACAGGCATTATTTTGACATGACTCTGTCTTAGGGAATCCCATTAGAGAAGAAGTTTTGTTAGATACAGCTTTGTAGAGAAATGTACTATTCTGTCTAAAATTCAAGAGGGGTAGTGAAAGTGGGTGGTGAAACAAGGTTAAAACTGGTCACAGATTAGATTTCCTGTTTGCACAAACTTCCTATGACAGAAAATTATATGAGATCAAGCAATTCCTCATTACGTAGCGTGCCAAACCCGTGGAAAACCAACAAGTGCCCCCAGTGGTTCCCAGTTTGTTGATGTGATAGCATTTAAAATCATAACAGAAGGAAGTCACCAATTGCAAAAGGCCTCTCTGACCTGATAAAGTGACAGCGTTATCTCAAAAGGAACATTACAGCTGATGATTGTAAATTAACTGAAGTCCTTTGATCTGAAGGGGAATCACTGGCGTGCCTTAAATGCAAATGGATGGAGTGGAATAGCAACATGCTCTTGGTACGATTTGACACTGAAAAACAACTGCAGGGCCTTCTGACAAGCTTCTTTTGTGCCCCCTCTCACTCAGCCTGGATCTCCGCCAAGCCCACTCTCAGCTCTCTTTAAAAGCCCTCTTGTTCTCCTCTCTCACCCCTCTACTGTACTTACACAAGAGTGTTTGATCTGCAGCACCACCTAGCATAACCAAAACTGCATTTATCGGCCTAACCTAAACACACAAAGCTTCACACTAACTCGCTCAGCTTTCATTTTTCCTTTTATCCTCACTCCCTCATAAACATTTCCGTGACTCCTTTCTCTTTCTCTCTCTCCTTATTTCTGTCTCTCTCTTTAGTCCTGGCATAACCAGCAGGATCAGATGACACAGGTGGACTCCTCACTGGCCGCAGCATTGTGTAACACCAGCCAGTACTGTGTTTATCGTCCTGGACTGTTGGGGGAGAAGTCCTGTCCTGCCCTGGATCAGCACATACAGCCCCGAGAAAGAATGCCTTGTGCTCCGATGAATATTAAGATAAGAATCATAATTTGGGCCAAATCCAAATAGACTAAAAGGTGTAAAAAAAAAAAAAAAAAAAAAACTGAAACTACAGCAGGGTGTGTCTCTCTCTCACCCATCCCCTCTGTGAGCAAGTGTCCAGGGAAAGTGTTTTATGGTCAGAGGAGGTGTAGCGGGATCAGGGTGAAAGAGGGACAGTAAGGGTGTTGGTCTGAGAAGCAGTGAGAGTGTAAATCAGGTGTTTGAGCATGGCAGGGGGGGGGTGAAAAAAGAGGAACAACAGGGTCTCATGGTAAAATTGGTGGTGAGAGAGTAGGCTGATCTGCTGATGAGAGATGCTCAAATGTTTAGTCAAACCTGTAGAAACTTCTGCTGTAAATTCACATACTTGACAGTGTTGCAGGAAATCTGGGAAAATGCAAAAGGCGGCTGCACAGAAACTCAATGTTATTCCAGGCTCAAAGATTTGTTGACTTTTCCTATTATTTCTTCAAAAATTGAACTGAGAGAGGTTTGAAAGTGGCACAATATGATGCAACTACTTCTCAGAATAGAAAACAAAGAGCTGCCCACTTGCAGAAGCATGTCCAAATGTGAATATGTATTTGTGTTTACTAGAGTACAGAACATTGCATTCCCTCCTCCTGAGCCACGCCCCGGAAGAGCTCAAACCTCTGCCAAGATGCAGCACATCAAACTCCCCTTCTTTCCCTCCCTGGACCTCTTGTTTACAGGAAGCAGCTCAAGGGCTAACACCTTACATCAGACCTTGTCAAGTCTCACTCATCTTATCTATGTTTTCTTAGGTTCACCGTGTCCACATCAACATGTTCCTCCAGTCACGGATGACAGCAGCGTGACAGCTCTTAGCCAGACTGAACCAGAAAAACAGTACTTTTTTTTTTTTTTTACATTTTTTTTTTTTTTACATTTTTACATTAGAATGCAACATGAGGCCTGTAAACAAACCGTTTTGTGCCTGCTGATCTCCACCATTTTGTTCAATTCAGCTCAGATAAACAAAGTTAACCTACAGCTGCATGAAAATTCCCACTGACTGCAGAAAGGCTCAGTCCTGCCGTGTTAAGATAAAACCTGTTGCTAGTGGCAACAGCACAGAGACACAGTTGATCACAACGACACTGCTGTCACAGTGGACAAGATAAATATCACCAAGTCTGTTGAGAACCATTAAGATTAAATTCCTCAGCCTTCATCTGAAGGCTGACACAAGCCTCTGCAGGGTGAACCTTTTTGGGCTATGAAATCATTTGGATAAACTCAAATATGTCCTATAAGTTGCAAGGTTTTCACCTGAACATAAAAAGAAGTTTTTTTTTGCCATCATTATTTTGAATCATGAATCATGGATTGAGTTTATTTACAGATTATGTTATTGTGACGCCTCGAGTCCCTGACACAGGCCTCATGCAGAAACTGTTCCCTGTGGTGGTGCAAATGTTTGATCAGGTTTTCCTTTATTATCCACACTTGTCCATTGCTGTACATATGTGTCTCTAATTAAAATAGTTTCATTCTGTTCTGTATGACACTGTAAACATGGCACTGAAACACTCAGTAGACACTAGGTAAGTTTCTATGCCTGATACTGGCGACCCACATTATGCCAGATCAAGTAAAATACACTTTTAAAAAGGACTGTGATGACAGGTTGTCTGTCTGTTGTGATCACAGGTGATAGACAGTGTTGAGGCACATTAGACAACAACATGTGAATTTCTTGGCCCCTAAAAATGAACAGAAACAGTCCCTTTTTTTGGAGTCCCAAAAAATGGCATAACTTCATCAAATGAACTGTTTGGGAATTGAAAACGTTAATCTCTGTGTGCTGATTGTATGTTAAACATGTATGAAGGAAGAAGAGGTCAGATTTTATACATATATATACATGTGTATTAGGGGAAAATAAAAAGCTTGGCTTGGTGTACTAATCAAGCACTAACGTCAGTTTAGCTACTGTAGCCAGGCAGCAGTTCATGCTCTGGAAGTAGCTGTGCCTCAGTCAGCATGACGAGGCCTGGATCCGGGATACTGTATCCTGACGCCAAGCCTGCTTTGATGCACAGCCAGAGGGTCCCTGCTGATTCAGACTCTCCCTCCTATTCGACTGTACGTTCACAACAACCTATGACTACTTGAATCAACTCTGACCAGAATGACATCAAGAAGAACAACGTAAAAGGAGAAGGATGAGATGCAGACCAGGCAGCTACGCAGACAAGCCTGGAAGAAAGAGCCCTCGAAGTGAACCTAATCATTGTTATGTTGTTCATTAGAAAATGAAAAGAAACTGTGTAGTAAGCATTACTGATGGAAAGCTGTTTGAGATTTAGTTCTGTCTTGTCCTGTGTGTTTGTCATTAAAACGCTTAAATGATTAAATCGGTCTTAGCACAGTCAGGCCAGACTGAAAACAACGGTGTTGTTGTGCCCTCACTAATCTCTCTCTGTTGTAAGTCCACTGTGAGAACTTTTCTTTCTTTGCAGGTATGCTCTGTGTGAGGTTGTGTTCACTGTATGTGTCACTAAAATGCAGAAAGAACCTTGGACAGAAAGGTACTGGAATAAAAACGCTTGATTGTGTGTCAATTTCAGAGTCAATTTCTTTGTGTCGTTTTAATATTTTTTTCTTTTGATGGGGTGGGGGGGGGTGGGGGGGGCACATTCATTGTGAGTAAGGCCAAACACAAAGACCATGAAGAAGAGAGCGAGATGTGGATGTATGATGTCACTTTTATAGAACTCCTGCAGACTCTACACAATAATTATGTGCCTGTCTGCAATACCATTTATGACTACAGTCAATTTTCAATTCAAGTCCATAGTAATGTTATAATAACTTTTACAATACAACTATAAAACTATCAAAACTATCAAAGTAAAGTTAGAATTATCCTCCAAAGTTTCTGGTGATGTCAATGAATATAAAAATTCAGTAAAGCAGGATAAGGTCACAATAAATTTGATACATCATATAGAGCTGAAATGATCAGTTGACTGCCAGAAAAATAATCAAAGATTTGGGTAACTGACTAACTGCTAGCAAAAATGTTCTTATTTCAGTTTCTAGCATTTAATATTTGTCTTCTATGGTAGTAGTTTGAAGATGCCACCTCAAGCCCTATGAACTGGGATTGATATTTTTCTATATTTTCTGAGATTTTATAGACATGAATATAAGCAGTTAATTGAGAAAATAATCAGAGATTAACTGCTAACAAAAATCATTCATCACATAAACTGCAGTCCTAATAGAAAAGGTGCATTTTCAGGGTTGGAGTATTGTAGCGTTATCAGTTTCTGAAAATAATTTGTACAGCACTGGGGCAATAATGATGAATATATATTTTCTAGCACACCATTCATGCAGCTTATGTGCAACTGAATACCTGTAGTAATCCTGCAGATAATATCAACGGCAAATCCTAAAAAGTTACTCAGTATCCCTGTTACTATAAGACACCATCAGATTATCAATGCAAAACAATAATTTATGTATATCTTATTTATATATTGCCTGTTGAGGAACACTATAATATAAAATGGTAAAACATCATCACAAATACAGTGTTACTGACTAAGAGGCAGTTTAGTCCAAAATAATACTTGTAGTAGTCATACTACATTGATAATCTTATGAGACTTAAAAGAAAAAAGAAAAAGAAAAGCTTATTAAGGTTACTGTATGATAAACTGGTGTCATATTCATTATGAAATATTACAAAAATAATATAAAGATTTTTTGTTTATTTAACTGTCACAAAATAAATCTGAGGGGTGACAAGATGATTAAAAGGCTAAGAGAAAAAGCCATATATTTTATATCTTAAAAAAATTACGCTGAATTTTTCAATTAGTCTTTTCTGGTTTAGCTTTTTCTTGTAAAATGCTGAATACCTTCACATCTTTGGGGCCCAAGAAAATCATTCAAATTAAGAAAAAGAGAATCACTCTTTGGTTGAACCATTTATCATTTATGTTAACACTCAGGCTTTAAGATATGATTCAGGGTCACAACCACTTTCATTTTAGGAGCTCAAAAGCCATAAAAGGTTGGAATCTCCGACATTGTATGTAAAAGTAGCTTCATCACTCCCCGTAACATTTCAAAACTGGATCCAAGAGTAGTCGACATCTGAACTGTGTGGATATTTTACATAAAACTAGACATGTGAAGTTGAAGACCTCTCATCAGCAGAGTTCAGAATCCTCTATTCTCTGACAGTTAAATTGATGGATGGTGAACTCTCTGATGCACAGATACTCTCATCCATAACCTCTCTGAACAATGTACAAGACAGTGACTTATAGGAACCATATAAAACTACGCATCACAGTCCATCAGCACTCTGTAGGCTGAGGACCACTGATGGGGGGAGGAGTCCTTGCGCTGCTCCCAGTGTCCTTGTCCCATACAAGCACTCAACCTGACTGTGATGGCGAAGGAAACCTGCTGTTTACTGTTGAATTTTCTCTCTAACTCTATTCCAGGGTCAACAATATTAACCATCTAATCTCATTTTTTATCCTTTGAAGCTGCGTTTATTACCACTATAGACAAGAATCAAGCAGGTGTCTCGGCCTGTTAAAAATAAAAGAGACTTTCCTATAAGAGATTTCAGAGGGATATTATATAAATATCACAGCAAATGTTTGATCTTTGAAGGAATGGCACAGCAAAGAGCATTCAGGAAATGCAAAGGTTGATATAAAACACTATATTAAAGAAATAGGTAATAGATTTTTTTTTCTCTCATCTACACAACCGGGTGTGATCTGGCAGTGGTATGTGAACGCACCTGCCCCCTCTTCATCCTTAGCCTTTCTATGTCCATTATTCTGCTTCTATTTACCATCTATTTTATTGCTTCACCTCAGGAATCAGAGCAGGGGTGATTCCATTGTGGTCATACAATTATATTTCAGAAGTGAGCAGCATGCAGGGGTTGGCATTTGCAGATAAATACAGCATGTCGATGGTGTCGTGATGTGATGTATACCTGCAAACCGTGATGAGGTTTTTTCGCTCCACGCCGACGCTCCGAGCAGACGCCTTTTTCGATGTCAGACCCATAGCCATTGCTGTCTGAATGCAGCCCGACTCCATCCAGCGGCGGCCCCGGGGCCTCTTCGGGATCCGTGCCCAGGCCAGGACCCCTCCCTCGGTGGGCCCTGTGTCCTCCAAACACCCGCTGTCCTCTGCGGGGAGCCACGGATGCTGCCTCAGCTGCTGGAGGAGAAGGACAGGACACAACCGACCAGCGGCAAGTTAGACACGATTAAATGTGCAACTTCCGGTCGGAAACCTTTAAAATAAAATAACTGCCACTTCTTGTGCTTATTGCCGAATAATGATACTTTTATTTCCATCTTTATTTCCTGTTTTATTCAGTGCACGTCATGCACTTGGCACAGCTGAGAGACCAAGATAAATGGCATTCAAGATGTAAATACAACTTCAAAACACCATCAAATATATCTGTCAGTTTATAGTTTCTTCCGCAAATTACTTTTTTCTGAATATATGGTTTTGTCTTTATCTGCTTATATTCACAACAGACGTATTGATGAATACATCATGCTTTGGTCGGTTACGAAACTAGCATATTAAAAAGTCAAGAACCACAAGAAATGTTCCTAAGTTTTTCAACCGTGTGAATTCTTTTATGGATCCCTTCACAATCTCTCGAAAAGAAAAACATTATGAAGCACATGCCATGGTTTTTAGAAGTGCAAAATCGACTTCACATTCTTATGAGAATATTTTACTGTATTCATGTCAAATTGGTTCTAGCTTTAGAATAATTTAATTATGGACAGCAGTGATTGTCATGTTGTTCAATACTAACTAACCACGTTTGACTCCTGGACAGTAGAGGGCGCTGTGGCGACGGCGGTTATTTAGATCCTGGTGGCAAGATGGCGGAGTCCGAAGAGCCCAAAGCTGGTTCTTGCACTTTTCTGTTCAAAAAATCTACAAAAAAATTCTCCGGGCGAAAGAGAAAAGCAAGCGACAGCGATAAAGGTAATAATTACTCCTTCAGTTAACGACTCCAACGTTGAAATTACATTATACCCTGTGCTAGGAACGTCGTGGCTGTGTTTTCTGTGAGTTCTTGTCTTCGTTGGATGTTTTTAATAATGATCTTGATAATTCGAGCCAAATACGTTACTAACGACAGAAATACGAGAGCAACTCTGTGAACTGTGGGTAGTTTGAGAAATTTTGTTGAAGCCAGTTCCCTCGTATATGCTGCATTTTGGCTCCCTCGGAATTTTGAGGGTTTGGGAAGCCTGCATCTTCTCCTTATCCAGTTTGTTCAAATGCCGTTTAACAAACCTATGTTGTACACTCACCTAGCTCTTTATTGGGAACACTACAGTGGATTACACTACACTAATTGAAGTGCACTGAACTCATTATCATGTTTATGAAACCAGTTTGAGACGACTTTTGTTTTATGACATGGAGCATTATCATGCCATTAGAAGATAGTCAATTGTGGTCATAAAGGGATGCACAAGGCATTCACATCCACACCAGTACACCACCACCACCAGCAGCCTGGGCTATATCTGCATGATTGGATAATTGCATAAATAAGCAAGTGTACAGGTGTTCTTAATAAAGTTCTGGCTGAGTGTATAAATGTATATGTAATACAGAGCTTGTCAGATAAATAGTGGATTCAACATGTTGGAGTCCATCATCCTGACTTAAAGACGAGATGCAATGAAATAAGTTCCGCTTGTTTTTTCAGATGGTAACAGTGACGAGGACCAGAGCTCTGTGGTCAGAAGAGAAAAGAAAGACACTCGAGTCAACCCTATGATTCAAAAGGTGCCATAGTAATATTAATAACATGATATTTTTAAATTCTTTTTGAGTGTAATAGTGAAATAAACATGACTCTTGTCTTGTCCCTGTCCAGACAAAGAAAGTGGAAAGAGATGCTGTATCTTCCAGTGAAAGTGAAGAAGACAAAGAAGACAAGAAGGTCACTGTTGCCTACAAGTCCACACGATCAGCAGTGAGTTGAGACTCCTTTTTTTTTTTATATCACATTTTGATGGGGTTCCAGGAAGAATGGTTTAAACCCCCTGGTCAGGAAAAATGAACATGAAACACTTGTCACCTTGCTGTGAAGTCACAATCTCTTTACTTGATGGAGGTACTGAAGAATTCCTCATTCTCCACCATTCTGCCAATCTTGTCCAAAACAGAAACCAGAGGGACCAGACGACATGGGTGCAACTGCTACGTATCAGCTGGATACAGAGAGAGACAAGGATGCTCAGGCCATTTTTGAGAGGAGTCAGAAAATCCAAGAGGTAGAAATTAGATGTGTAACATTAAGATTAACATTTTTTCTCAAAGTTATTATTTAATATACAAGTTTGAAGTGTTTCTTAGTACATCTTTGTTTTTTGTTTAGTTTTTTGATAAATACACTTTATTGGCATTCCAGTAGCTCGATGTTCCATTCAATTCATTATTATCAAATAACATCGCTCAATTCTGAATCTTGTATAACTGCACCAAGTCATATGTGAAATTTCAAATGGTGTTTTGATTTTTTTCACCAAACCTTTGCAAAAATGTAAAACAATCTGCTTAAATGTTAAATTATGCACGTTATTATTTTTTCTGCCAAATAATGTTGAAGTTTCCCTTACCCCTTTTTCCCCTTCAACAGGAGCTGACGGGTAAAGAGGACGATAGAATCTACCGCGGCATCAACAATTACCAAAAATTCATCAAGCCCAAAGATACCACAATGGGCAATGCCTCCTCTGGCATGGTCAGGTGAGTAGTAAAGTGACACATATTCATCACATGCTGTCATAAGACATGAATGGTGAATGCTAATATCAGTCATCATCGATTCATATAATTTTCTTCAACCTTTTAACAGAAAAGGACCAATCCGAGCCCCTGAACACCTGAGAGCCACGGTCAGGTGGGACTACCAGCCGGACATCTGCAAAGACTATAAGGAGACTGGTTTCTGTGGTTTTGGAGGTGGATACTATATTTTTACTATTAAAATATCAAAGTATTCTGTTGAATAACTAACTTTTTTTCAATCTTGACCCTTCACGTCAGTTTTTCCTGTTCTTCTCTTCTGCTTTTAGACAGCTGTAAGTTCCTTCACGACAGGTCAGACTACAAACATGGCTGGCAGATCGAGAGGGAGCTAGAGGAGGGCAGATACGGCGCCAATGGTGAGTTGAAGAGGGGGATTTCATGTCTTTTTTTTCTTTTGTTTTGTTTTGTTTTTTGTTTCTGCATCAGCATTTCTTGAACAATGCTATGGTTTCCTCTAGATGATGAGAACTACGAGGTGAGCAGTGACGACGAGGATATGCCCTTTAAGTGCTTCATCTGCAGGGAATCTTTTAAGAATCCTATCGTCACAAAGTAAGTTTCTTCCTCTGTATGTTCTCCTCCGCTTCTTCACCACGCAGAGCTTTTATTACCAGTTGCAGTTTGTTAACCAGTCAAATGTCTCCCAGGTGCAAGCACTATTTTTGTGAGGCCTGTGCTCTTCAGCATTACCGTAAGTCTAAGCGCTGCTATGTGTGCAACACGCAAACCAACGGTGTCTTCAACCCCGCTAAAGGTAAGATACTGAACCCCACTTTGCCCCTGATGGCAGTTGCAATGTGGCAAGTATTGCCAAAGCGCTTTGAGTGGTCAGTAAGACTAGAAAAGTGCTATATAAGTGCAAGTCCATTTACCATTTAAGCAGGGTCTGTCTCAAGACCTTGGAGAAGGGGCAAATAAATTTCTTCTAAGGAACTGATGTGATGATTGTAAGTTAAAGATTCCTCTTAGTCATGTTTTCTATTATTTTCACTTTATTCCAGAGTTGATGGCGAAGATGGAGAAACATCATGCCGCAACAGACCAACCACCATCAGATGAGGATGATTAGCAACCTTTTCAACCCTCCCCTTATGTGTTTGTCCATGTAAATTTTGAATAAAATAACTTTTTTAGAAGGTTCACTGACTCACTGTGTGCTACCATCAAGTTAAAACGTTAAACTGAACAATGTTTATTGTTAAAGGTCAAGTTTGACATTTGCAACACTTTGCTTTGTCCTCACTTTCAAATACATGCAGACAAAACAAGCACCAATGTAACATTCACTTTTGACATAAGTAACATCACGCCCAGAGTAAGTTGAAGGAAATGCAAACTTGTATGCTCTGAAGGTTAAACTAAACAGGTGTTGTTCTTAACCTCTGCGCAGCAAAAGTGACGTGTAAAGCATGAGATGTAGTTTACACTGTAATACAGGCAGAAAGCCAAGAGAAGCATATACATGCTGTTCGTTTCGCTGACTGAAAAACCTTCCATCTGGTGTGGAGGGCTAAATGAGTCAGCTGTGAGGACTGGTGTGCAACCTCATAGTGGTCTCACTGAGCAGATGGGCCACATACAGCGGCCATGTTCCAACAAGAGGTAGAGAGTCCCCTCTGAATATTTAGTAGCGGCTTCCCACTGATCCGTTTCATGAGAATCTTCAGGTTAAGGCTACATCTCCATCCATAAACCCTCCTCTGACCTCTCAGCATGAGGAAGAGGAGGGGTGCTGTTGTGTTTGGCTCCAGGGGGATTTGTTGTGTGTAACTACAATCTGTAAACAGGGGTGTGTGTGTTTAAGAGAGAGAGGCCATCAGTGCAGTGCAAACGTCTGTGCATATCTAGAGACCAAAAGCGTGCAAGAGACATCAAAAAGAGGCAAGATGGCTGCTGGCTTTTAACCTCTGTCTGACAACAGCAACTCCTTTAAGTTTGACAGTTGTATTATTTACAAGGGGACCATTACAAAAACAAATTTTGTCCTGTCTGTTCAGAGGGTTTCCCATCATGATCCTACAAGTGTCTCCCCACTGAGTCCTCCACTGTCAGAAGTCCCAGTCGTCCACCTCCAGGTGGCTGAGACCAGACTCCAGACTGGCCAGTCCAGAGGGAGAGTCCTGTGGCTGGGAGCTGTCGAAGCTGGTGATGGGTGACACGGGCCGCAGCAGCTCAGGCAGCGCTTCTGAGGGTTGGCGTTTTATCTGAGAGAGAGAGAGAAAATAAGAAACTTTAAACGTCATTGGTATTTATCACACAGTGGACTTTTAGTTACTAAGTTAAGAAGATAGTTTGTTGTCCCAGGTGTCAGGAATGACTTAAGCAACACCAAAATATACAAGAAATTATAACTGTTTTCATAAGTGATAATATCTGGGTTCTTCTGAT